TTCCGCTTGAGCACACCTCCCCGGCAATATACAACTTCACGTGGCGAGCCAACTCTACACAGCATCGGTAAGGTTATATTGAGTTGGTAGATGATAACCTTGAAGGATATTCTAAATAATTGAGTTGGGCCGTCCTGTTGTCATTACACGTAAGTACCATCACGGGGTAGAACCCCTTGCTTGAGTGGGAATTGTTACTAGTACCACAAACCTGGATTCACAATGATTCATGGATGCATTAAATTGCAAGCGGCATTTGCTCTGCGGCAAATCACCCTGCTTATCTTTCAGGGTCTTTTCCGGTATCCTTCAGTTGCAACCTTGACACCCTGTTCTGATTCATACCACGACGTATGCGTACTTCAACCTTCCAGAGATTGTTGTAAAAGACAAATACCAGGGATTACTCACCTGATGCTGTGACAAGTGCCAGTGGCTACATGCAATGTATTGTATGTATTGATGGAGGAAAATTTCAATCGCTGGGGCGTAAAACTTTAACCATCATCCCACCCGGAGCCAATAGTGGGGTGCGAAAAAAAACATGGTCCACTAGTCTAAACATGAGCTAATTTGTCATGATCAATGGAATGAAATAAAATGATTCCTCCATTGCCTTCAACGATCTTCTGTTCCTGAATGATCTTCTCCAGGACCCTGGTCTGTTGCCTCACTTGAATCTTCAGGGATCTCGAGATCAACTGCAGATCGGTGATCTTGGCATTCTGCTCATAAATTTATCGTCATCACACTCAGGCGCGGAGCGCGGGGTTCCCTACTTTCGGATACTTTTGCCTCAGCGTTTCGATCCTTTGCATGATGCAAGGCCACTCGGTGTGATTGTGTGTTCAAACGCTGGGGATTGATCAGGCGCCTTCCTCTCTTTCTACGAGGCACTTCGTTGAAAATTGTTACAATTCAAGAGAAAACAGAGACCAAAATTAAGTACATCTGTTCAGATTTTGAGCGACAATCATGGAGTACCGAAGTGAGCCGAAACCGGACGTTGAATCCCCCCGACAGGGCAGCAACATGATGGCACCCCAGGAAAACGACACCGGATCCTCTTTTCTTGAAGGGGAGAGCGAAAAGCAGCTGCTCTGGAAAATCGATATACATATTTTACCGATGGTTGTACTTCTCTATTTGTTTAGCTTTTTAGATAGAGGTTGGTTCCCCTTCCTATATCCATAAGGATATTGCTTTAACCCACTGCTTCATCCTACTCCGAATGTTAGCCTGCTGATACATATTGATCACAGTGAACATCGGCAACGCTCGACTGTATGGTCTAGAGGACGACTTAGGCCTGGTTGGCAACCAGTACCAGGTCGCTGTGTCTATCTTATTCGTAACCTACTGTGTATGATTGATCTCTGGCATCTGTGGATACGGCAAGATTCCTGACTGTTCAATATAGCTATTTGAAGTACCATCGAACCTTGTCCTCAAGAAACTTCGGCCGTCACGCTACATTGCATCGATTTCGGTGATTTGGGGTATCATAGCGACCCTAACAGGGATCACCCAGAATTATGGAGGGCTGATCGCATGCCGTCTCCTCCTAGGTTAGTAACCATCTTGATTCCGCAGCCATATCAATTACTGATGAACATAGGTGTTGTGGAAGCCGGGTTATTCCCCGGGCTTATAACCTATCTCACCTTATTTTATAGCAAGCGTGAACTTGCTCTCCGGACCGGATATCTTTTTAGCAGTGCAGCAGCAGCAGGCGCGTTCGGTGGGCTCCTGGCATATGCAATTGGATTCATGGATGGGATTAGCGGACTTCGAGGCTGGCGGTGGATCCTGATACTGGAAGGTATCCCAACCGTGCTCCTAGGAGTGGTGGCGTGGTTTGTTCTCGCCGATGATCCTGACACAGCTTATTACTTGAACGAAGAAGAAAAGGCCCTCGTGGTCCGCCGGCGGATGCGCTACGTGGGTCAAACGGCATCTGCGCAGAAGTTCCACTGGGCGGATGTCAAAGAGGGCGCACTTGACTGGAGGATCTGGGCGTTTTCCATCGCTCAATTCGGTATCGATACCATGCTTTATGGCTATAGTACTTTCCTTCCCACTATCATCAAGGGCATGGGTTCATGGTCGACGCCCGAGGTGCAGGCACTAACCATTCCATGTTATGCGCTTGGGGCCCTGGCCTATTTGGTGATCGCTTGGGTCAGTGACCGAACTCAGCGCCGTGGTCTGTTCATTTGTATTTTTTGCGCAATTTCCGTCGTCGGTTACGGAATCCTGATTTCTGATACATCCTCCGGGGTGCATTACTTCGGCGCATTGCTGATCGCCCTGGGGCTGTATGTGGCGGTCGGGTTGCCACTCGCATGGCTTCCTACTACGCTCCCTCGCTATGGCAAGCGTACCTTTGCCACAGGTTTGCAACTCACGTTTGGCAACATCAGCGGTGTTATGTCACCGTTCTTGTACAAAAATAACGAAGCGCCTCGGTATGTCCGAGGAAATGCCGTGACATTAGGCCTTGTGGGGTTTGCAGGAATAGTGTATGGACTCATGTGGTTCTACTACCGCCAGAAGAACATTCGCAGAGTCCAAGGCCTTGAAGACGAGAAGGTTGCTGGGATGACCGACGAAGAGATTGAGGAGCTGGGAGATAAAAGTCCCCGATTTATTTATAGTACGTGAATGTATAGTACATAGAGTCACTATTGTAGAATCCAGATAGACGGTCATCAGATTTGTTTTTCAGCGAAGAAAATACTCATATCTGGTGTGTATATTTATTTATATTCATTCAAGTTATCAATAGAATTGTATTGAAACAGCAACCTACAAGACGCTGTTATCCGCAATAGTGCGCCGTATATTTTACATTGAATAATTAGTAGTAGTACTAGTAGTAGAGAAAAAAAGTAGAACGTCACTGTGGACTTAAAAGTGCTGTAAGTGGACAGGGAGTCTCTCGATTGTTTCACTGCTTACAGACGGTTGTAATGAATCGATTGTCTCCGCAACATAGTTGATCCTTTGCATACCAACTTACAAGCAATGCTGTGTCCAACCTTCTATCGCTCAGTGATCTATTGTATGTCTACCCCACGATAAAAAAAGACTACCATATGAAAGATGTTAAGTGTAACATCACCATGGGCATTGATTCTTTCCCTCTTGACTGCAATTGTCAGTATTTCCTTTTATAACCGTAACCTATCTGCTCCGGACATTGGGTCACCTCATTGCGCAAGCTGGAACGCCTGGTACAACCCACTCCGAACAGGCCAGGCCGGATATCAAGACAATGATTGGAACATACTCTACCACCTAGGCGGCAATGGGCCTTGGATAGAGAAAACTGACGGGCTTAAAACGCCGGGCCTTGAACCCCCAACGGGGTGCGTTATTGACCAGGTGCATATGGTACGGTTGTCTTGCATACCTCTACATGGAGGGCTTCAATCCGAATTTGAACTGTCACTTGAGTCGGTTCGGAAATAAATACTAATGGCTAACAGATGTCTCGCCATGGGGAAAGATACCCGACCAAATCTGCTGGGAGTCGTATGTCCCGCTATACCATCATCACTGGCATTTCAATAGAGCCTACTATTCCTAACGTCCATCCCAAGGTCACCTTGCACTTCTGGATCGAATAAAAGAAGCAAATGTGGTTCTTAATGGTTCACTATCGTTCTTGAACGACTGGGCATATTTTACCGATGAGCCGCAGACAGACTTTGACCAGTTGACCAGAACTAGTCCGTATGCTGGTACACTTCAGGCTTTCTCAACAGGCGTTCGCTTCTTAACGCGATACGGACATTTGTTACCACGCCAGGGGACGACAAGGCTGTGGGCAAGTGAGTGTGACCGCGTGATTGAAACAGCCCAGCATTTCACGTCTGGACTTTTCGGTCTGGATTGGGAAAAGACTGAAAAGGCTACGTTGGAGATCATCCCTGAAACATTCGAGCGAGGCGCTGACACTCTGACTCCGGGCGATACATGCCTAAAATACATTGAAGACCCTGCGAAAGGCCATGACAACGGTGTCAATATGCTGGCTCTTTTCCAGGACGTGTACATTCCGGCCATTGCTGAGCGACTGATAAATGACGAGCAAAATCCGGCACTCGGGTACTTAACCAATCTGGAGGTCTACAGTATGCAGGAGATGTGCGGATTCGAGACGATCGCTCGCGGATCAAGTCCTTGGTGCGATATATTTACTCATGATGATTGGGAGAATTTCGAATACGCCCGTGATCTAATTCACTACTACCGTGCTGGTCCAGGCAACCAGTACGCTGGGGCGATGGGCTGGCTCTGGCTCAATGCTACGACTACTCTTTTACGATCTGGGCCGGACGCTGGTACTATGTTCTTCAGTTTGTGGGTGACATCGTGGCTCCTAAAGATCAGTTGATTGCGACGTATACTGACGCCCTGGTTTAGCGTCCATGATGGGGATATCGCCCCCTTCCTCACAGCACTGGATATCATGAGAGACCCGAAGTATGATCCGTTCTTACCGACTACACATAGAGTGGCAGACCGCGTCTGGCGTACCTCGTCCGTGCTGCCAATGGGCGGAAGAATCGTTCTTGAGCGGTTGACTTGTCAAACCTCATCGGCGGAGAACTCCAGTGGCGAAGAGGCCTTTCTTCGGGTTAACATAAATGACAAAATTGTGCCCCTGCCGTACTGCAAATCTGGGCCTGGGCTGTCGTGTCCGTTGAAGGGGTTTGTTAATCATGTAGAAGGACGAAGATCGGATGTGGGAGATTTTGGAGAGGTGTGCGGACTAGGAAACGATGCTGGATATATAACATTCTTACGACAGGACTAAAGCATCCTATGCTAGAGATACTATGTCAAGAACGAAAACGGAGGGTTTTTAAGAATATATGGTGCTTGGTTGTCGAGACCTCGAAGCTTTTCCTTTTCGGCTACAGGAAAGCGAATGTAATGTTAAATTGATATAATACCGCCTAGGTTACCTGGTCACGGTATAGAAAAGCTAACATAGGTGCTTAAAATAAATAAACACATCAAGATAAGCATTATAAATGGCAGTTCTGAAGCATCAGTATGTCTGGCCTCTGGAATGATAGATGGGACCCACGTGACCGTCCCCGGGCTAACAGATGTGTTTACCGCCGCCCCAAAACTTTTGGGAAGATCGGATGCTTCCTCCTCGAGGTTTTGACAGCAAGCTTCATTTTGCATCCTAGCTCATTAGATACAGTTTTCGTCACCCCTGCTGCATTGCCTCCTTTAATCCTTGCTTAAATCGATAAGAACCATAATACACTTATAACATGGAGTATCATTTTGTTCCCCCAGAGGAGCGCGCAAAAGATGACAAGGGCAATCTTCTGCCCTGGGGCTATGTCTACAAAGAGTGAGTATAATATTACAATTTGTCCCTTCTATTTGCCGCTCATCGAATGTTGTTGACTGACATGTCTGACTTAACCGTGCAGTGAATCTCGGAACCCTCGACGACCACCCGAAGAGAGTGGCCCATTTGGCAAGAGGAGAAACGCTCGCTACGATCATGCTCGATCGCGTACCCGTACGGGCACACCTGCAAAGAAGGAAAACCCAAACGTTGCAGAATTCGGACGGCTTTTCGCCATGCAGCAAGAAGATGAGAAGACTCGCAGCAATACCTTACCGAAGTCGACATCTACCTCCAATCTCGACAACGCACGACAGCAGACGGAAAAGGTCGCCACGGAATGCATATTGTACGGTTACAAGAGTAAAGACTTTGAGTGGAAGGTCATCGATAAGTATGAGCGGGTGTCCAGAGGCGTGATCTGTGAAGATTACCCGCGCAGCGATCCTAACTCTATGAGTGGGTATTCGCAGCTTCTGAGCGGCGGTGATGTGGTGATCCATTCGAATTTGTCTGCAGATGCGAACCGCAAATCAAAACGCTATGCGGGTGGTTTCCACTGGATCAAGGTTACGTTCGATTCGACGATCGCGGCGGACCGCGCTTGCTTCTACTCTCCCCAGGAGATCGATGGACACCTTGTTTTCTGTGAACTGTACCATGGCCAAGGACCCGCGGAGGATGTGCCAATCCTTGCAGATTCATCGGCCGCCGAGCAGCAAAAATCGAAAGCATCGCGCACTTTGACCACTTCGCGCTCTACCACGTTCCTCCAGACAAATGAACGCTCGACGTTACCGCGGTCATTCACTGTGAATAACCTTTCCAGTGTCCCGGATGTAGACGAAGGCCAATCCTTTGAATCGACGCCGACTGCAAGCTCGACGACTGCCACTGGCGTGGAGCAACCATCTACAGCTTCCCTTCAACAACGGAATGTGCCCCAAGAGCCAAAACCTGAGTCTGAGTTCATGACACATATTCCGACGGTGCGTCGGGCGAAATTACGCCCGATCGCTGAGGCTCTCCCGCCCCAACCGACCGTCACCGAGCGCGTATTGCGATCCATCCCGATCCTCAGTTGGTTCACTGGTGACATCGTGGGAGACGGGCCGCAGCTCAAGGATGATGGGGCATTCGACTATGATAAGTCGAATACCTACTGGCGTTTCTGGTATATGATCGATATGGTTCTCGGCACAGATATTTGCGGATTGCGGGAGGAATCATGATCTCTTTCAATTCTTGCTCCCATACCTCTACCACTTCTTACCAACTACACCTAAACTTAGCACCGGCGATGCGAAGCTCTGCAGCGTCAGTCAATACAAGCCCAGCTTCGGGCCCAGAGGCATTCCCGCTCGTGAGCAAACGTCTCCACCAAACCGTACTATGACTGGCTTAACAATACCAATACCCTTGCATGTACGATAGCACCCCGCCGACAAACTGTTGGCGCGAGTTGACGTTAGCCGAGTTGGCAGTTTTCGTTCGTATACTCTATGATTTATGGCATTTACTGGTCGGGATCTTTATTAATTATGCATGGAAGGCGAAATGGAATTAATAAACTGGTCGCATGGCACCCGAGCTTTTTTGTAGGATTACAATACTTATATAAAATGTGGGTGTTCGCTTTACGGCATGCTCATTACCTACTATCATTTTGTAAGAAAGTACCTCTACAGTTACTGTATCCTTAACAGCAGAAATGGTCGTAGCACATTCTCACTGAACCCTGTCGACAAGACCCCTCCCATCATTTTTCACCCATGGCACCATTCACAATCAACCCCAATAACACGGTTACCCACCCATAAGATCCCACCTTAGAATCCAGTTTCCAAAGAAACAAAAGGGACTGGGATAATAAAGTCCTCAAGAAGAACAAGAACACATTTAGATAGGAGGAAAGTGAGAGTGAGTTAGTAAAGAAAGGAAAGAAAAAGAAAAAAAAAAGATTATGACAGCCCTTTTTTAATGTCTTTGTTCACATTTTTATATCAATCAATTAAAACGCATGATATGATATGATATGGTTAACGAATTTACTCGACATTGCTCTCGAAGTTCTCGCCCTCAACCAGATCAGGGATGTCATCCTCGTCATCATCCTTCTTGCCCTCGGCGCCGGCCTGGTTCTTCTGCATGTTCTGGTAGCTCTCGGCGAGCTTGCGGAGGGAGGCGAGGCTGTCGGGGCCAAGCTGGTTCAGGATACCGGGGACGAGCTCGGTGAGTTCCTTCTCTTCGCCGTTACCGTAGAGAGCGAAGGTGTTGGAGGGAACGGAGGCGTGGACTTTATAGAGAGTAGAATCAGTAAGCAATTTGTTTTTCTTGGGGGGGGTTTTTTTTTTGTGAGGTTGCGACGTTTTCCAACCGGCGGGTGCCGGGTGGATTTATAAGCGCGGGTTATGGATGGATGGATGGGTGGTTATATATACCCTTGGGAGCACCGAAGTGGATGACGTTTCCGTCTTCCTTGAACATGTTGACCTCCTCGATGGCCTGGATGGGCTGGACGTTCATCTTCTTCAGGGTAGCCTGGAGCTTCTTGTCGTCGGCGCCGGAGGACTTGTGGACCTTCTTGACCTTGCGGCGGGGAGTGCCCTTGCCTCTGTTTTTTTTAGGGTACTTCGTCAGTCGGGTGGATTCATGGTCGGGGTTGTGAGAATGGAGAGTAGATCTGGTATGAGAAGAAAAGGGCGAGATAGTGCATTGGGGGAGGGAGGTGGGTTAATTTCCCATTTTCGTGGTCGAATGGCGGTACCCGAGAGAAACTGTGCGAAAAGAAAGAAAGAGAATTTATACGTACCCTGTTCAACATGAAGATATAGGTTAGCTAACCGATCACGTCACATTATCCAATGTAATTCAAAGTAATTCCAATTTCTGAAGCTGCCCGGGATTTCATGTCGCGACTGGCGTCTGGCCTTTGGAGCTTTGGCGATTTGCAGACTCGTCCGCGACGGGTATCGCATTTCCTCCGGCTTAAGCGACCAGTCCCTCTCGCTGCCAATGCCACTAAACCCCAGGACCACTTCTTTCCAGAAAGGATTGGGGGGGGGGAAATGGGGGGGAGAAAAAGATCGAATGGACACGTACCAATCCGCACGCTAGCCTGCATGCGAGCCAACTTTGCCTGATCCATGATGATGATTGTGTGTTGAGAAGATGTTCCTTGAACCTAGTGGGATGAATGGACGTCAATAATCTGGATCTGTGGAAACTCGGACTCGGTAAGGCTTTGTGGCAGAATGTGTGGCTGCCAAGAAAGCGGTGGCTGATGCTCCAGGTCGACGAGATGAGGGGGAGCAGCAGATCTTGGAGAGGGACGAATACACACCGGCTAGGGGAGACAAGGGGACGAATGGAAGGTTGCAGAGAGGAAGAAGGGCGAAAGGCGTCCACGTACTCAGAAGATGAAACTCGTTGGTCAGTTGAATGGTGGGAGTCTCAGTGGTTGCGTTGAGAACACCAGTGTGGCTGATGATGAAGAGGTGAAAGTTGGTTTGTGTGGGGGTTAAACGCTGACTGTGGCTGTTGTGTTCCTCGACATTTTCTACTCTCTCAGCTACCAGTACTAGCTAGTCCTTCGTCCTGCCGGCCTCTTTCCTCTACACGGTCGGTCATTTTCCTCTTTTACGCTGGATTGTTTCACCTTGCCTTCTACTACCTGAAACTCGCCTCTCTCGTCGGTCTGCTGGTGGTCCGCACATTGATTGTGGGCTCGAATAGGCTCTGGAGGTTTGGCAGCTGCTCGGCTAAACCCTAACGATCAAATCATGGAATGGATCCGTAATCATGCACGTCAATCCGGTTATGCATGGCTGAAGGCGACGAACTTGGGAACGACCAGCTCTCCGCCATCCTTTGTGGTTTTCGCAACAGAGCTCTCCAGTCAGTTGAGATACACTCGTCTCATACCGCTTTCGCCGTCTTGCCAGCTAGTACTAGTAGTCCGCCGGCCACCCAATCGCTTTCCATACTTTACTACAATGCAGTCACGGTAATTCGTAACCCTGAGCCTTTGAAGGCCGATTGTTTTTGTAAGAAAAAGAGAGAAAGGTAAAGGTAAAAATAGAATGACACTGATTAACCAAACATTGACGCCCCCCCAAAAAAAATGTATCGAGTATACTAACTCCCCGTCAGTTAACCTTATGTAGGTCCTGCAATAGTCCAAAATAGATAGCGATTAAGATTAGGCATATATATCAACCAGATTTTGTGTACCAGATTGCCAAACCATATGGCAGAACAGAGCAGAGGATCACGATTTCTCGGCGATCTGATTCTCTGTCCATTCCCAGAGCTTTTGCGCCATGTCTGCATCATCGACGAATCTGCTCGAGCCGCGCACCCCGATGGGAACATAGTAAGCCCCGTTGACCAGTTGCTCTCTCTTCGTCCCGGCCGCCCAGAGCTGATTCATTGCCCCTGTGCGGATACTACGAAACAAGATAGAAAGCACATCAAGCCCAACTCTTGAGATGGGACTCATTGCGCTGGTATGGCGATATAGTTCGCTGGACACCGCACCTGGATGAACAGAAACCGAGAGAATCTCCGGGTATCGGCGAGCAAGCTCCGACGCGAAAAGGATATTGGCAGCTTTGGATGCGCTATAACGTACTAGCGTGTGGGAGGCTAGGAGAGCAGACGTTGAGGTCATGACATCGAAGGAGGGCGCAACATGGCTCCCCACGGAACTCAACGTCACTATTCTTACATCTGATGCGGGGCTTCCGACAGTTTTTTTCAGCGTGGGAAGGAGCAGTTTGGTAAGCAGGAAATGGCCAATATGGTTTGTTCCAAATTGAATTTCGAACCCTTCCTTTGTAAGCCCTGGCGGATTCGCCATGGTGCCAGCGTTGAGGATCAGGATATCCAAACGATCACACTCCAAGCTAAACTTCGCTGCGGCATCGCGTATAGACTGGAAAGAAGACAAGTCCAGATCAATATGCCTGATGTCGACGGAGGCGGAAATGGTGTCTTGGATAGAGCTGATCGCCTCGCGAGCTTTAGTGGCATCTCGAGCGGCTAGGTATATACGGGACGGGTTATGTTGCGCAAGCTGAAGTACGGTTTCTTTTCCAAGACCGGCATTCCCTGAAAAACAAAAAAAAAATCGTCATATGTTAGTATGCTATAGCTGGAAAGAGAGCCTGTACGAACTCGAGACTCAAGTCAGGATTTACCTCCTGTGACAAAAATGACCTTCCCAGAGAGGTCGCCAATATCTCTGCTCGGCTCAAAGGAGGATCCCAACAGGCCGAAGGTAGCTTCGCTCAGCGTAGGACCAACACTTGAGAACATGTCCAATGGATGGCGCAAGCTATGCCAGGCCAAATAGCCATTGAGGACGAGAGTTTCATAGAGAGACATGTCGAACGTGATGTGCTGTATCTTAGTCAAAGAGGAGCTGTGCAGTTAGTTGACGCCTTCCAGGTATATAATACCAGCCGGGTCCTTTTTGTGCTGGAGGGTAGAAGATGTTGTGAAACACGGACGGTGATTGCCATGGTGCCTACGGCGTACGCGTTCAGCGACCGAGGTTGATTTAACTCTCGATCTAAATATAATTTCTCCGCCTAATAGATTGACCACGGGTTCTCGGCTGATTTAAGACACGTCGTGATGAAGAAAGAACCGAAAAGGATGAATATACTCCATGTTTGGAGAATCCACTTTTCTCACGTTAATTGTTGTAGTGGTGAGCGATCGAGAACTCAGAAGCTAGTGAAATGCAAGGTAAGCGACTAGGTAATTTAAATCCCGTATTCTGGTTTTATTCGGGTAAATATGCACGGTCAGCATGCAACCTTCCACGAGGAAGTAGGAGTCACCACAACAAAAACATATATTTAGCCATTCGGCATTCCATAGTTCGAGTCCGATTTAATCTACATCTAACATTCTATTGTGCATTCTTCCTGGCATTGCTCAAGGTCTATCACTATATACCTTCACACTATCAAGATGCGATTTCTCTGTTTACATGGCTCCGGCACAAGCGGGGAAGTATGTGGGACAATGACTACGTTTCATCTATCGGCCACATGAAAGATACTAATCGACAAGCAGATTTTTGAGATCCAATCCGGTAATTAAATCAACATCTAGTGGCCCTGGAGAGGAAGCCGCAGATGACCATGACATGTCGTCCCACAGATCGTTAGTTCTAACCACAAACAGGCGGTATAAGTCAGGCGCTGGAAGCCAAAGGGCATCGCTTCGTATATGTCGATGGCCGATTAGACTCTGAGCCTGAGCCAGGTACGAAATCTCCCTCTTTCTCCATAACATCACCTTAACTGGGACCAGACCTGAAGGGCATCCTGGATCCCCCATTCTACAAACACTATCCCCGCGATACCGCACCCGGCGAAGATCTCGCTCGTGCGATCGAGCACACTATGGATATCATTAAGAAAAAAGGCCCATTCGACGCTGTAATGGGGTTCTCACAGGGCGCCGCTCTCGCAGGTTCGCTTCTTATTAACCATGCCGAAACACATGGCGTGCCGCTGTTCAAAGCCGCTGTCTTCATCTGCGGCGCGGCGCCGTACGAGACATCTGGAAAGGAGACTATCCAGCCGACGCCAGGGGAGTATCTGGTCAAGATTCCTACGACTCATATCGTAGGTAAGCAGGATGGGATTTACGACCTCAGCATGCAATTGTATGGCCTGTGTGAACCCTCGAAGGCGGAGTTTTACGACCACGGATCGAGGCATTTGATTCCCTTCGATGCCAAGAATACAGAGGCCATGGTTGCTGCTATCGAGAAGACTATTAAGCGCGCGAGGACAGGTTAGGATTCAAGAAACTCGCTTTGCTTTACTCGAGATGCGAAAACGATACGAACAGGAAATCATGTACAGCGTGCGTCTGGGCTTATTTGAACAATAGATGATTAGGAAACATATGTATAAAGCAGAATTCTGATGCTCAATGCTATCTCTTTGAACCATCGCTTCTATCTCTGGAGTTGTATCTCGAGAACAAAACTGCAACCAATAAGCATACCATACCCAAGACAATGCTACTAGGTGTCATCCTCTCTAAGATAGAGACCCGGGAGGGGCCATCGAGTCATAGCCCGGCGGAAGCCTGACCGTCACCTTCAGCAGGGATGACCTGCTGAAGGAATTTCTCCAGATCTTCGATTTCCTGGGGATCGGCAGAATGGCCAAGATCACTAATACCGAATCAATAACATAGTCATCCCGTGTAGAAAAGGGAATACTCACGAGTAAGAGTTGAACCGAACATTCTCCAGTCCGAGGTCTTGAAGCAGTTTTGACGAGGTCTTTCCAAACTCATACTTCACTATATCATCATCGGTCCCATGAGCAAGGAAGAACGGTGTCTTCTTGTTAGGCCAATCCTCGGGGATCTGGTTCTTGATGCGATCGCTCAGAAGCAAATAGCATGAAAGTCCGAATACACCTCCCAGCTTTTCCTTATTGGTAATACCTGTAAACACAGACATGGCGCCTCCTTGGGAGAATCCACCTAGAACTATGCGCGAAGGATTGATGCCCTGGTCGATTTGTTCCTTGATCAGGGTGTTGAAATACTCGCGGGAGCGGAGGATGCCTGGTTCGTCCTGGGTGCGGATAGCTTCTTCGAAATCCAGCTGCGAAGGTGTTAAACGGGACCAATATAATAGGAATGCACCAGGAACAAGGGTAACTCACATCACGGCCGAGCTTGGAAAGGTCGTACCATCCAGGCATTGACATTCCAAAGTTCTACAGCGCGCAGAATCGAATGTCAGCCCATTATCTCCCACCCGAGAACATAACTTACATACCACTGTGATAGGAATCATGGGCGCATTGGGAAAAATAAAAGTTACTTCTTCGAACAAGCCTCTACGGCGCCAGTTCTGAGCAAGGCCCATCCTATCCGGAGAACCTGGTTAGTACCTGTATTTGGCATCCGTCAATTTCTTGAAGAAAGAAATTAATACATACCATCCAGCACCGCTGTTCCAAGGAAAGGTTGTTAGCTAACTGGCACTACCTGACAGGCACGAACACCAACCTGTCGCCCAGGCCATGAGCCATGATCACAGTTGCCGTGTGTTTCTTGAGTGCCGGAACGACAAAAGGAGCCCGGGTCGCCATTTTGCTGGTATTTAAACAGTCGCAGTGAGATATTGACAGAATTACCGAGTGCAAATGAAGAGAGGAAAAAGATGAAGCCCGCAAAAGAAGAAAAATAGGAGAATAGGGAGAAGAAGGAAAACTAGATAACCAAGACGATAACGCGATAAACATTCCCCGCGATTCTGCCTATCTAAGCCCTCACCGCCTAGTATGATGATGGATTATGCCCCCACAAAGAGCAGAAAACCTAACTTTGTATTAACTTCAGGGGGTGTGAGGTGGACAATGGCTCTGTACAAATACTAAACGTTGCGCAACCCAGTACATGCTGCCTTGGGGTGGAAATGATTCAGCAATAATGGTGAAGGTGTTCCCTAAGCGGTACAAGGGACATGGGTGAAGGAAATATTGGCTTTCTCGGAGCTAGTATATAAAATGTGTAGAAAACAACTGAGCCTTTTGCACCCAGCGACTATAATTCCAATGTCGTCCAGCTGTTTATTGATGCTGCACCACCTTTGGTTAGGTTTACAGAACTGATAAGTGCGAATTGCTCTGTACAATGCAATGTACTCCGCGCCCTGTCTTTACAGAGGCGTATGGGCCCTACATGCTATCAGGGGGGTTACTATGTACCAGTAGTAAATCATATGGTTCTAGGGGTAACCAGAAGATCAAGGCACACTTTAGTCAGTTCCTTGAACTGGCTATATATATTACCGAGCTATGGAAAGGTATATTATCACAGGGGTTTATAGTAAGCTGGCCATGCCCACGCCTCTGCTTGGAGAGGTGAATGATGGCCATTCACGGCTATCTCCCCAGATTCTATATATCAACGGAGCTCATGGGCCCCAAGACAGGAGCTGCTCTAATGAGATCAAGGGATGTTCATTGGGTTCTGGGACGTCCTACTTAGGGCTTGGTCGGCTATACCTTAGACTCCGATCTAACAAATCATCGTATGGCATGGGCCAGAGGGAACTTGCTCTTGGTTTTTCTGATGCTTCCTCCTAGTCACAATACGTGATCTAGTGAATATTCCAGGGAAGGATAATCTTGAGATACCAAACCCGAACAACCTTTACTATAGGAAAGAAACATCCAATATACCACAGAAAGGTCAAGTCGTTTTCCAGAAAAGTCTTGCATACTGTACTCACCTGTGAGCACTTCCCTTTCTTGAAAGCATCCTATGAGTTGTCTTATGATTTCTGATAGGGATTTACATTAAAGACCGAGCTGTATCTCATAACTAATTCCGGGTTGCTAAAGCAACAAGCATGGTCGATGCGTTGAATACACATGATTGAACTCAGGGGAACAGTGATGACTATTACCTAGTTATTATGATGGCCAGTTCTATATACCAGAGTAAAACTATAAAGTACAAATGATGGAAAGACCAAGAAGAAACAACATATAGACAAATCTATTACACACAAAGATCGTAAACCTCCTTCCTCACCGACTCGATAACATTCAGGATAAGCAAATCCTCCACAACACCCTTCTGCCACGTAAACATCAACACCAAACAGCCATCACCACCCGAAACAACTGAGACCTCAAACGCACTGCCCGTGACAGACGCACTCTGCGAGAAAACGACGCGCCCAACCCGTGGCATCCCTTCTGCTGACGTACTAGAAGTAAAAGCCCCGACATTTGACACCTCGTAGGTAGACGACCTCGGCTGCCCGACCTTTGACAGGTAGAGCTCGTTTTGGTAATCGCTTACATACCTAAGGAGATTGGCGGTGGTGTCCTTGCCCTCTTTGCTGAGTTCCTTTTCGATTGTCGCGCGAGACTGCACGGTCACGGACCAGGGGAACGAGGCCTCGCCAAGATCTTTCCGGGTGTAGTCTTCGGTGTATTCTTGAACCCAGACGCCCATTGAATCTTCTGTGATGGGGTCGGGAAGCCAGCGACGATTAGACATCGCGCCGGAGCACCGGACCTTTGTGGAGGGTTCGGGGAGATGAGTGAAGAGGGAGCGAGCGATGATTGTTTGGAGAGCGGCTGTTATGGTTGTCTTGTTTTCGCGGCAGCAGTCTCTGAATGTTGATGATATGTGCCTTGGGAACACGACGTGTTTTAGCTTCGTCTCCAGTGGGAGCTTGACCTCCGATCCGGTCCATAAACCAGGATCGCGGGGGTCATAGATCTTAGCTTTGAAGAGTTGAATAGCCAGGTAAGAGTACGATACTGGCTTAGGATGGACGGCTTCCCCGGGTGGCAGCAGCGGTGAATCAGGAGATGGAATAACTTCATTGACATCGTTGACAGTCAACGATGACAAGGATTGCAACGCTTGCAGGAAAGTCCTGTGGAAGACCTTTCCCGACGAGCCGTCAGAAATAGCATGATGGAAGACAAAGACAACGGTGAATCGTCTGTCGGTCTCATCGGCATCATCGGTCAACACGAAAATTCGCCAGAATGGCAACGGGAGTTCGAAAGCGGTATTATGCTGGGTGCTCAGCAGCGCGTCCAGCTCTTCGTCCCGGTCTTCTGCATCGGGGAAACCGTGCTCACGCTTCTGGAAAAAGACCGATTGGCTCAGATCAACGTTCGGGAGACGCACGAAGTAAGGCTCCTTGGTCTCCTCGCCGATTGGGACGGCCGAGAGGATTGGGTGCTGCGCAATGAGCACCTCGCATGCTTTGTAGACATAGTCTTTGAGCGGGAGGGTAAATGTTCCCGGCAGTGTATAAGTTGCTGCTACAGCTACATTGTAATAGAATCTTAGATGATGGCGTGCGGTGGAGCATAGCTCCATGCGACCGACCTGCTGGGCGTCAGCTATGGGGGCATATTGTGGCCCTCATGTGAGCGCTCACTGACCGGTCGAAGCTTTGGGAATTGGTCCATGGCTTTCAATGGGAGATGGGTAGCCACGAAAACATGGAAGCCTAAGTGATAGCGGATGGATAAAATATTGTACATAGATGCACGTGACATAAGCAGTGCCCTAGTATAACATCAGGTGATATGAAAGAATACGAGGAAACGACGTTTTGGATTTTTATTATCGGATCGTGCTGGGCCAAGCTTGGCCTTTTTGGATTGTGCATAGCTGCATGATATAAGAAGGTATACTATACAATGAATGCGTCACAGGACAACAGAATCATTACTCATGACCACAACACCCCCTTTCCAATATATAGAGGGTGTAAGAAAGAAAAGGAAAGGGAGGAAAAAAAAAGGCCGTAGACTCATTGTTCTCCCATAGCCAGGGAAGAACTACTTAAGGTAAAATTCACAGAATTGCCATCCCACCAACAACTGCAGCACCCAACATTCCCCAAGCAGCCGTCTCCAGGGCGACCGCACCAGCAGTAGATGTAGCACTACCGGTAGAGGAACTGGTAGAAGAAGAGGAAGACGAGCCGCTCTGCGCCTGGCCGTCAGCAGTGGACTCGTTCGCATTGCGCTTTGCGGCGTCCCCAGTGAATGAAGTCGCCTTAACCCCAGTGTTGTTCGAGCAAGAGGAAGGTGCGGAATAGTCCGTCTCCGTGAACTGGATATCAGCACACTAGAATGAAACGTCAGTACCCTACACCGCATGAGGATTGATTGATTCAAGACGTACCGCGTAGAGACCACCGCTCGGGTCACCGTTGCTCTGCACCTGCAGGGTTGCGTTCATTCCAGCCGTCAACTTTACGCCGACGACGGACTCATCGAAAGTGACATTGGGGAGGCAGAATGAGCCCAGGCCCTCCACTCGGAAGGTCGGGTGAAGAGTAATATTGAAATTGGTACCAGGGTCGTTTCCGAGAGCGAGAAGTACTTCCACGGCTGTCTGGGCATGGCCCATTGTCAAGGCAACGGGCAAGTCACCGGCAGAAAGAGAGACTTTCGTCCGTTCCGAAGATTGGGATAGTCCACTGCAGGGAAATTGACTCATCTTGTCCTCATCGAATCCACGGCTAGTCGGGTAGTTCAGCTTGAAGTGAGCGGAAACCAGGGGCGCAAGGGACGCCAGGGACAGGATTGAGAGCTTCATAGTAGCTGTGGAGTTGAGGATCAAGAAACTCGAACGGAATACAGGTATATAGTAGGGGGAGGAGTGTTAGACAAATATGGTAGGGGAATTGATAATATTATATAGTATTGGGGGGTGTTGGTTAACAGGAGATGCAGTGGACATCGATCGGCAACTTCGGCACTTTTCTACTCATTGGGACCAAACTGTTATCAATTGGAAATTTAGGGAGATTAATGCGTCGGGCCTAAGTTCCACATTATCCAAGCATCATTGACTTGTAATGAGGTTTCTTTGAAATCCGGACGGGAGCTGAGCGCCATCGTGTTTGTTTGACATGGATCAAGAAGGTACGCACAGAGACTAAGATGGAAACGGCTAGGAAATGTGCTCATATCTTCTCAAAGCTTTAAAGCACCCCTGCAGCTTCCAGGTGGAGCCCCCTTGTCGGCAATGTGGACCAATAGGGAGAGGCGCAGGTCAACCACGACCGAGATCCTTGGGCCTGAGGCACTCTGGCGTTCAGTCCATCGCGCCATCTTCACCCGAACCCTAGTTGAAGTTTATTGGATACAGAAAGACAATTATGAGAACCCCGGAAATTTTCCTAGGCGAGGTAACATCGTTCTGATGTGGCATTAAAGTACCACATCGTAGATTAACAGTTATCTTACTGGCAATCATTGTCATAAAAACGAGCACATGGGTATCGTAATCGGTACCTTCGAGGAGAATTGATGATAATAACAGCTGATAGAGGTATCACGGACAGGTAATCGAAACGCTCCAAACTCCACTAAATGCATGCAATGCTCGCCTTAACCCCAGGGCCATTGGTAGCAATATCAAGTGCCCAAACGCCAAACCCAGATTGCAAATATGGAACATAAGAATCATGGCTGCAGAAGTGTCGTCAATGGCCATGGTCATTCCATTGTATATACCGCCCTACGGCCAGTTCGCCTAGGAAAGCACCACCCAACACAGAGCAGAAGTAGCCAATATTCATGGTCATAACAGCCAACATACTAGAAGAGGGATTAGCACATGCTTAGATCAATGAGGAAGGGTGATGAGTCAATACATACAGCAGATATGATACCCCCGTAATCAAGAGAAAGAGGAATGCTCGCGGCAGATCGACACTAAATCTGAACGGAAGGGGTTCATGTGTAGCCCGGCGCACAACTTTGACGGACTCTTCCACCCCTTGCGCTGATACGAGTGAAGCCACTTTGGCATCCGGGTCGCGTCGATACGACCAGCTTCCGTTGACTTGCCCGCGACGGCCACGTAGCGACGATTCAGATGAGCATTCAACCAGTGCTGCTCCATGACGCCCTTGAACGCAACCAGGAGTCGGCCAATAATCGATAGAATGATCAGGAAGATGCACGTGCCAGCATATGCGCCACTGGATGACGGTGTCCACTGAGACGAGAACAGGGGTGTATCCTGGGCATTAACGAAGACCATTGCCATCGACATCGTCATGGACGATGAGGATGACGAAGAGGACGAGTGTGACGAATGATCCATGCTGCTCATGTCCATGGTGATGGCTTTGGAGTTCACTCTCCGGGTGAGTCTTTAGAACAGTGATATCGATAAATGCGCCCCGCTATATCGGATATCGGATATCAGATCTCCTGAAATGAATCGACGGATTGATGGGATAGTTGTCGTCGCAGTCACGTAGCGATGTTCGGGATACTGAGGAGGGAGGGAGAAAGGGGCGAGTGAGAGGAGGGAATAGAAAACACGACGTAGTGGAGAGAGAATGCCATGATGATTAGAGCCGGCGTTGGGATCTTTATTAAAAGTTGAGACAAACCCGACGGGCTTGAATGCGGACCAGAGCCAAGTGTCACACCAGCGGCCGACGGGTGGAGACGTGAGCACATTTTAAGAGCCGGGGCCAATCATGGGCCAGAGATTAGGGCTCCATCTGCAAACATCTACCTTGGAGTCTGAGCAGATTATTAGTCTTCAGAGCGGGAAATGGAAGCAACCCAATAAAATAAAATTAATCCAGAGAACACGCGTTAATAATTACTTAACTCGATGGGGACTTGGTTGTTCTATCCATCCGAGAAGCATATGGCCTCTTTTCGGCCATTTCTGCTACATCTATCCTTCTTTCTCCCTCCTCTCCTTCTCTTCCCGGATATGACTTCCTACTACTAATTTCCCGGTGAATAACGCTTCAGTCGACGCAGATCCTTTAGATCCATTCTGAAAACTGCGTACAACCCAGTCATCATCATAATAGGACCACGTGAGAACTTCAAGAAGATGACATGATACCCCGCAATAGCGCTATTCAATTAATGGTTATTATTCTCGATTGAAGATTAACCCAGATCCGTCACAACTGAACATCACAAAGTAACAACACGCACAACGCCACCATGTCGATGGGTGGGATGGATATGGGCCCAATGGGCCATATGTCCATGGGCGATGGCGTGCCAGGCCTCTTCTATCTCCAGAAGATGTACTGGGCAGTGGTAGGAAGCGCCATAGCTGCTGGGACAGTAGCTAATGCTTTCAATAATCTCCTCGCTTTTCAAAGGTCAGTAGCCCCTCCTGTGTGCATCAAGAGATACAAGAAAGCTTACTCGCAGCTATAGACTACGGGACTCCACTCTCACCCCGTCAAAACCCAAATCACTATTCTTCAACGCATGCGCCACTCTAACGGCAATCGTTCGAGAAGCAAGCTACGCAACGTTGCCCCCATGGTCACTAGGAGGCCGCATCTTCCACTTTGCTCCGCTAGGTCCACTAGCCATCATCTTAGCCAACCTAATCGTGGTTCTTGTCTTCTGTTTCTACAAGTTAGACACAACAGACCAATGGTCATGGGAAAATGTTGGCTATCGCACCGGATTTGTAGCTATTGCCCAGATGCCTCTGATATTCCTGCTGGCAGGAAGACAGAATATCATTGGACTTCTCGTCGGCATGAGTTATGAGAGATTAAATTGGTTCCATCGCTGGATTTCCCGGACTCTGTGGCTAACGGTTACGATTCATATGGGTTTTTGGTTCCGGAGCTGGGGACGCTACGACTACATCACGTACCAATTGAAAAACGATCCCTTGTCGAAACGGGGCTTTGCTGCGTGGTGTATTCTGACCTTTATCGTCCTATCATCTATGGCACCCATACGACGACTAAGCTATGAATTCTTTGTTTTACAACACCTCGTGACATTCGTTGGGTTTATTGTTGCAGTTTGGCTACATGCCGCGGAAGAAGTTAAGGTGTGGGTGTGGATTTCTATCGGGTTGCTCGTGTTTGACCGCGTCGCGCGATACGCATGGGCCACATATGCCAATTTATCCATCTTTCACGGTTCCACATCGGACACGAAGCATGCCCTCTGGGCTAACCAGGCTTCTTTTACTCCCTTACCAGGGAATGTCACTCGCATTACCATCGACAGCCCGGGCATCCGATGGGAACCCGGGCAGCATGTGTTCCTGACATGTCATTCAATAGTACCCCTGCAAAGCCACCCATTCACCATCGCCTCTATCCCTGCGGACAACAAGATGGAGTTTTTCGTACGCTCTGAGAAAGGAGGCACTCGGCGTTTCTTCCGTTATGCATCTAAGCATCACCACGTTTTAGGCTCCGGGGATACGGCCCCCGTGAAACCGGCCCGTACCGTGTTCATTGATGGACCGTACGGAAAGATGAGGCCTCTCCGCCAGTTCGACAGCGTGGTACTGCTGGCGGGAGGAATGGGTGTGACTTTCATCATACCCTGTCTGCGAGAGATTGTGTCCCGATGGAAAATGGAATGTCTTGGGGCGAAGGAGCAGTCCAACAAATCCCCACGCCTCACGCCGACCAAACGTATCCGTTTTGTATGGGTGATCAAGTCGCGGGCTCAGCTTAGCTGGTTTGAGACGCAGTTACAGTCTGTATTATCTGACGTAGAAGAATGTCGTCGTGCTCAGCCTGACATGATCCGAGAGGTCGAATTGAGCATATATGTGACCTGTGACGAAAAGCTGGAGCCACAGCCACAACCAGCCCAGACTCTCTGCTCGCAGGCCCAACCTGAATCCACAATTGTCAGCACTCGTCAAGATATCAAAACTATCGAACCAGCTGCTATCACTGATGAGAAACGCAGCAAAAAGGACGATGTTTCGACCCATTCGATCTCCAAGATTTCTTCCGCGGACTCTATATCCCAGAATGGCTGCCTTCCTAATGGTGGATGCTGCTGCACAACTGCCATTGAAGATGAGGACAATGACAGCATCACCGAACATAAATGTTCCTGCTCCGGTCATGCCCCTGTCTCTCAAGTTCCGGGGCCGGAACCAGAGAAGCTGGATGTTAAAGCTGCACCGGTTAGGGCGCCCGAGCTCCCCATGTTCTCCGGTCGACCGCAACCACGAACCATCATCCGCAAAGTCTTGGAGAAAGCCGAAGGCGAAAGCGCCGTGGTGGTCTGTGGGCCGCAAGGTCTATCAGATGATGTGCGCCGGAGTGTGGTGTATTTGAGCGACGAAAGGGCCGTACATAAGGGAACAGGGGCACAAGGCATATATCTACATGCTGAGAAGTTTGGGTGGTAGAAGCCTTTTTTCCAAGTATATCATGCATGCTTTACGACTGTATATATTGACTTTGACAATGGACATACTTAACTTGCTAATTAAATATACGATGTTGCTTGGATCCCAATAATAAACGGTGGAAGACATGAAGCCTCGTAGGAATCGATCGGTAGGTCTGTATCTGACGGCGGGCAAGCCCTATTCTAAGGGTTGTTCTAGAGTCAAGCGATTGTTAGCGCTTTCTCTTTTACTTGCCTTATAATACTTACTACCAGTCTTTTGCATCAACCTTCGGCCGGCTGGCCTAATGGTAAGGCGTTGCTCTCCTATGGTGGTTCCACTCGTAGTAAAGCAAAGATTCAGGGTTCGAGTCCCTGGTCGGTCGTTTCTTTTTGGCCTTTTTTTCTATTTTTTAATATTTTATGTTTCCTTATCATTATATATAATCAGTTCATTTTCTATTTTGCAATGCCAAGTATAGTCTCCTTTTCTCTTTTTCCTCTCGTAATAAGTTTCAGATCTTGATCCTGGAAAAGCCGACCAAACATTGTAAAGCATATCGTGACAGCTGGTTATATTCCCATTGAAAAACACGGTCATAATTAGGGCCATACCAAATGTATGAAGATACAGTATTACAAGGGGGCAAAACCAAGACGAAGAGTAACCATCCCCAAACACCCGTCACATCCAAGGTACGCAGTAATCAACCCGCATGGTAAATAAACTATCCGTTGTTTTGTAAACCGGACGCGGTTGGGCTCCCGTTCCCAAAGTATATATCTATAGATAGACAGGATAGTCGCTTTGGAACATCCCCAAATGAACCTCTATTTCTCCCGCAAGCAATTAGGCAGGAGAACAATGAAGCCTAAGACATGAGATTAGGCCTGCCCGCGCAGGCACGGAACGCGTGATTTTGGTGGTGGCTGTGCCCACAGCGCAACTCCTTTCCTGTGTACACAGAGGACCTGAGTTGATCGGATCGGATCTGAGCTGAGCTCGGAGTGGACTGTGTGACGTGGTGTTGGTCAACTGGAGATCCCAAGGTTTCGATCTACGGGGTGAAATAAACTACCATGTACTTTACTGGCACTGATAAGGATGGTTTTCACGTATTTGATACCCGGTGAAAGATGGGAATTGGGCTTGGGGAGGGAGGTGAGATTTTGCTGACGCGGTATGATGAACTGTAAGCGCCGATCAGTACCTGACCCGAGTGTACTTTTGTATGGGTGTATCCGCTATACAGTACGGGAGTACCGGGTATCGCAGGAAAGGAGGACTGTACGTACAGTATTTGGATTTTGTTGAGCTTTCTATGGGATTTCTCGCATTCACTTTACATCTACGGAGTATAGAGGTATTCATGGTTTATTTAGTTCTTAAAATAACTGTATTGAATCAAGACTCCCTTGTATGCAGCACACCACTCTGCGCATGCTTATTGGGCCAACCATCTTTGAGTCAGCATTTGCCGCGTGACAATTTTAGACTTTCAAGTTGAGAGAAAAGGCTTCACACCAGAAGCGTGGGCAATGCATAGCAAGACCATGGATGCGAGTGTGAGTGATCAAAAAAAAAATAAAAAAATAGAAGTTGATAATGGCGTGATTTCGAAGATAGAGTGAATTAGAAAGGGAAATGAAAAATGCTCAGTTGACCCGGAGAGGCAGTCAAGATAAGAGCGAAATGGAGCGGTAATTTCAGGAATGGTATCAGCCGCGGGATCAAACTTACGCCGACGGTAAGGTTTTCGTCCTGACGAGCTCGCGTAACTTAACCGCCACCGTCTCGTCTCGTCTCGTTTTTCTCCTGCCCGTCAACTCTTTCCTTTTCACTTTCTTCCCCCCGAGTCTCGCTGCCTTCTGCTCGACCAGCGCCCTTGTCTCCATCCTATCCCGTCGACTGAGCCGTTGCGATCATCTCTTTCTTTAATCTAATCGCTTCAGACAATCCATCCACCATCGATTTCATCAATCCTTTTGTCGTGAACATGGGTCGTACCGTCGACCAGGAAGTTCACGCGGCGTTCGTCGAGTTCCGCGCCAAGGAAGACGATAAGGTGCGTGTCTTTGTATTTTCCGTAATATTTCAACCCGCCGCCCCAACACCGCGATACTGACATGACAACTTGTTTGCGCGATAGTGTCTCTCCGTCCAGTGTATCTACTGCCAGCAGATCCGCGCCAAAAACACCTCGCGTCAGAAGCAGCACCTGCTTGAGTGCCCCGGCCTCCGTGGCCATACCAACCCCCAGGCTCAGTCTCAGACTGCGCAGTCCGCCCCCAACGGTATTGGTGCTACCAATGGATATCCTCCTACTCCCAATGGTGCTACAGCCACTGCACCAGGCGCGGGCCCTGGTCCAGGTGCCCTGCCTACTCCCAACGGGCCCATGATGTCGAACGGTGTCAATCCCCATGCTACCCCTATGCAGACGCCACTGCAGAATATGCAAGGCCGTGCTTCCCTTCCAACTTCCGGCCCCACCGGCACATCCTCTGCTCCCCCGACGCAACAAGCTCCTCGTGCGACTCCCAAGTCTAAACCGAAAACTTCGTCCTCAAGTTTGCCCGCGCCTCCCTTGGACGATGTACATGCTGCGTTTGTCGAGTTCCGTGCGAAAGAGGAAGACAAGGTAAGATATGCCGCCGCTAGTGCCATGCCTGATATTGCCGAGCATCCATGTCTGACTGGGGCCCAGTGTCTCTCCGTCCAATGCATCTATTGCCAGCAAGTCCGCGCCAAGAACACGAGCCGTCAGCGTCAACATCTCTTGGAATGTCCCACCTACCTCAGCGTGATGAAGGATTCAATCCCCGCCAACAACCTCCTCCACACTTTCCCCGAAGGCGACGTGGCTCGCTCATTGCAGATCCCCGCGCCTACTCTTGAATTGGACTTCCGCATGAGCATAAAGATGAACCCAAAGGTGGCTGTTGGTCAGAGCCTTTGGGGCCAGAGAGACTGGGTCACGTTTGTTGGTGGCCAATGGGCTGGCAGATGGGGCAAGGGTATCGTGCTGGTATGTTGAAGGATCCACCAATGATTTCGAGCGCGATATGCTGACCAAGTTTTAGCCCGGAGGACAAGATTCGCAGATTGTGACGAAGGAATCCGCCACCAGTCTTCGCGCAAGCTACATGCTTCAAACCGCAGATGATCCCCCGGCTTATATCATCGTGAAGACCAATGGGTGGCTCACGGGCGCCAAGGACGTTCTGGACAAGGTCAACGATCCGGGCGTCGCGGACACGATCAACCCCAACACGTACAAGTATCGTATCAATCTCACCATGGAGACTGGCGACGAGCGCTACGCATTCTTGAACACCTTGATGTGGGTTGGCAGTGGTTGCCGCAGGGGCCATGAAGGTTAGTAGGAAATGTAATCCCATGTATGCAATACTTGACTGACCGCATTCTAGTCATCTTCGATTCGTTCCGTGTCAATTAATCTGCTACGATATTGCAGCTGTTTTGTCGGTTCTTCAGCGAGTAATTTTTTGAGGGGAAAAAATTGTGCTTTAGTTTCTTCGCAACTTGTGTCTCTATCTGCCCCAGAGTATGTCTTGAGCTTTGCCAGTGTTTAAGCCCTGTTGATCTGGATACATGCTTTTTGCCTCATCCCAATCACGAGTCCGCTTGATGCGTCCGTGGAGCACCCATGTTCTTTACGACTTCTCTTCGTTTCTGGTTGTTACTTCTGTAAGGTATTTCAATTTCTTTGTCTGGAGGTGCAAGACTGGTGAATTTCTACTCTTCTTTTATACTTTCCGATCCTTTTTCATATTAGCAGTGCAATGTGAATATCCTGTATCTCTACAAGAATGAAACCTTTCAGTTGATCGGAGATATATAAATCGTAACATGGCCACCAAGACCACAAGAAGAATAACATAAAACAGTATCACCCAATGAACTGAGAAAAAAAAAATAAACCCCCAGTAAAGTAACCGAACCCCAAAGAAAAGCAAAAAAGAAATTTAAGAACATACAAACAAGCTCTAGGTCTAGATCTAGATAATAGATATAGGATACCGTAAATACCCACTAATCACCAAACCAGCCCTATGGAATCGGATACGCTGTACAACTATACAGCTATACAGGTACGGCCAGTACTTAAGTATGTTAGTAAGTAGTAACGGAGTACATATAATACCAAAGAAGCTAAAAAAAAAAAATCCGTAACGCAGTATAGTATAGCGTAAAGTAATACCTCCCCCCATAAACCTTAAAAAAAAGGAAAAAAGAAAAACCATTATCAAGATAAAATTACTCGCTACTGACCTAAACTAGATGTTTATGGACGGCCCGCGTACGGCTGTACTTCTTCTCGGGATGCATATATATATATATATTTTGTTGAGAGATTTATAACGCCGTACATAATATGCTTACATACGTACTTTTATGCATGTTGTGCTTGTGTTTAAATGGTGATTGGGGCTAGTTATGGGTCTTGGGGGAGGCTTTTTTCTGGGCCTGGGTTGTCTGGTTTATTGGGTTGGGATTCTGGCTTGTTTTCTTGCTTTATTTCCTTCGTCTTCTTCTTTTTGATCATTTCTTTTTGTCATTTGCTACTTTGAGTGCTTAGTATGGTCTTGGGCTGATTACTGGGCGTATGGGCTTTTATGGATTGATTGGCGGTCGTTGGGATGAAGGATCTATTTATGCTATAGTTGTGTATTATATGAGAGTAGGTCTTACATGCTAAGGAGAACTGGGAAGTTGAAAATTACTAGGTATATTCCTGATATGGTAAAACACACATAACAAACAGTCGTAAATAGGGGTCTATGGTTTACATCGAATGCATGACTATACTTAACATCACTGGGGACATCGACCGTGTCAGGTCTGTATCCACCGACACCTTTTAGAAACCTACACGCCAAGTTAGTAACAGGGTTCTAGATGGTGATAGCAGTAGAATATTCTTACCCTTTTCTGTGTTTCCGTCTCCCATGCTCTTGTTACTGCTGTTGCCGCTTTGGATGGCACCCAGGATACCGTCCATGTATGGTGCACCGCTCCATTTCTGATGAGTAAGGACCTCGACACCGAGTTCCTTCTCACGTGCCTGGACTTGGCGCACGTACGCGAGCATGCCCTCGTCCTTGAAGGCACGGGAAAGCTCCGTTGTCACGGTGGCGTTGGTGTGTAAGCCGGCGAGGGAGATCAATTGCAGCACGAATCTGTACAAAATAACTGATTAGTTTGCGTAATGCTCATGTCGGTAATGCAACTTACCCGTGTGGGGCCAGGTCCCAGATGAATGACTTGAGGGACTCTTCGGTGAAGCCCTGTCCCATCCAGTTGAACGACGGACTCAGGTTGTAGACCAGTTTCTTGCCGGGGAAGGCGCTCCGTACGTCTCCGGCCAACTTGGCGGCCTTCTCGACGTTTGGATCGCCGGTTTCAACCCAGAGGAGGTCTGCGTAGGGGGCAAATTCCTTGGCTCGCTTGGTGGCTGCTGGGAAACCAGCCTTGTAATGGTAGTAGCCTTCCCGCGTCCGGGGAATATCCCAGGACCAGACCACTGGGGTCTTGGTGAAGTCACTTGCGAGGGCCCTCCGGCGGGTAATGGAGAGGTCTGGATTCTCCTGGACTCGCTTCTTGTATGCATCCCTGACGGACTGAGCCGCTCCTTCTCTTTCGAGGTGTGCGTCGACAGCTAACAAGGTCAGTATGGGATGATTCAGACGGGGAAACAGATGCGAATACCTTCGTCGAATGTGACAAGCTTGTGGTTCTTGACCCATGCCAATTCATAGGCATCAATCTCTGCAGGGGCAGCGCCTTCCCGCTCCATTGCCTGCAAGGCTTCTGCCAGAGGCTCGGTCTCCTCTGTAACACCTAGAATAAACTCGTGGTCGCGCACATCGATAGCACTGCTGAGCAGCTTTCCACTCTCCGAGTCTGTTCGGGCGATAAGGATGTTCTCCGAACCCATCATATCCCATTGGAAACGAGCGGCAACAAGTCTGTTAATATGCTCGCCTACGGGCACAATGACCTTGCCTGCGAGGTGACCGCACTTCTTTCCGCCGTGGAGCTGGTCTTCGAAATGGACCGCAGCAGCACCATTCTCAGCGAAGAGCTTGGCAAGCTTTAGGACGGCGGAGAGTCCTCCGTGTCTACAAGGATGGCCGTTAGTCACTGAATATTGACAGAGTTCAATCGCATTGCATACCCAGTATCTCCATCCGCGATAATCGGTCGCATGAAATCTACATAAGGGGTAGATTTCCGCTCCTCGGGGGTCAACTTCCGCCTAGCATCAAAGTTCTTGCGATCATGCAGTTGTTGAGCTTTGAAAAGTCGCTGGACTTGGTTTGGAACCGTGTTGTACGGGTAGTCACCCATATCTGGCGATACTTCATGGGTAGTGGTGAGAAGAGAGGAGCATGCCCAACCGGAAATATATAGGACTTCTTGGTTCGGGGCCTGCTGCGTCATCTGCACCGGATCAATGGCGCCCACTATAAAGGCATCGTCAGCTTCGTACTCGCCCGCTCTGTATTGAACGGACACATACTGGTATGAACTGGTTTGCCTTCCGCTGCTCTTTCGTTCAGCAAGTTGAACAGTTTCCGCGCCATCAAGGAGCTGGGGTAAGTCTGTTGCAGTGAGCCCCGTTTGCTGACAACGTCCGCGGCCGAATAGGGCCGCTTGATGCCCTCGAACCGCGGCGTCTTCCACCATGCTTCCACATCTTTGATCTGTTGCTCGTACAAAGCATCCTCAGCTGCTCCAGCCTTGTCAGCCGTCGATAGAAGTTGGTAAGAGTCGCATGGTAATGCTGTCGACACGGGGGGTTCAACAGCGGATAGCGGTGGCACCGACATCCGCGGATAACCGCAGGTGAAGGAACGCAGGGCGAGGCGAGACGGGGACAAGGGAGTCGGAAGGCGTCGAGGGATTCGACGGGGAATTGATCGAAGCATGATCTGGGATAGAGCGATAGATTCACGACCAAGTGACGGGTATATGGAGGGAATGGGAAAAGGAAAAGAAAAGAAAGAAAGAACGGAATAGTTTCATTTATGCTGGGGGGATGGATGATGGTTAAGTTACCTCCGCGGCGTTAAATGACTAAAGAGCTGGGCCGACCCGCCAACCTCGGTCGGCTCTGGGGTTCCCGTTTCCCCGCCATCCCTGTTCATGAAGTGCCGATTTTCGCTACAACGACAAACAAGGGTCGGCCGGTCTGACTCTCTCTACGGAGTACTTCTGTTATATACTAGCACTAATATCTACTGGACGGGCGGACACTCTCCCAGTGTGCATATTGAATGTAACAAAGGCTAGCGTCTCATCCTTGTATGTAACCCTAGCCGCCATGGACTTCCAACAAATGAGAACCGTCGCTATTTGGGGCCAAATGCCGATCGACTGCCTTATATCGGACGAGAACAGAGTTTGCATCGTCGAGTTGGTGGCGGATCATCACACGAGGCCTTCCATGATTGCTCCTCTGTGGACAGCAGATGGAGTGGCTGGGTCGTAAGCATCGTATAAAACAGGGATCCAAGATCTGACATACCTATAAGGACGGCCAACTTGGACGCTCTGAGCATCTCCAGTAGATATATAAGCTTATTCTCCACTCTTTGCAATCTGAGGGCTGGCACGGCACGTTACATATTCGGTGCTGTGCTTTTCACTCCATCTACCCCCATCTCATTGATTTCACTGTCTCGATACCCCTGCTATGTGCGGATTAACGGCCTTCGTGACTGTCGGGGGAACACCTGATTGTGTTCAGTGTGCCAATGATTCCCTCGGCCTAGAGGAACAGTTAGAGGAAAGCTTAGACTTAGTTAATCATCGAGGTCCAGATGCGCGTGGTCGTTGGTTCAGCCCGGACCACAGGGTTGGTATGTACTCTGTATTCCACAGATAGCTGGTCGCGAGGAATTAATCCACGACAAGGTCTGGGACATGTCCGACTCTCCATCATCGACTTGAGTCCTGCAGGAAACCAGCCATTCCACGACAGCGAGGACGCGGTTCATGCTGTCGTCAATGGCGAGCTCTATGACCACGAGCAGTATCGAACGGAGCTGGCTCATGAATACAGCTTCAAAAGCAACAGTGATTGTGAAATCGTCATTGCGCTCTACCGACACTATGGAATATCCTTTCTCAATAAATTAAGAGGCGAGTTTGCTCTTGTCCTCTATGACGCGAATCGCAAGCTGTTCTTGGCAGCCCGTGATCGATATGGTGTCAAGTCACTTTACTATACCATGGTTGGCAATCGGCTTTTAGTCGCTACGGAAATGAAGTCTTTCCTGCCTTTTGGCTGGAAGCCAGAGTGGGATGTCACATGTATCAGGGAAGGAGCCTGGCTAAACGGCTCGCGGATGTTCTTCAAAGGGGTGCAAAGAGTACGTACAATCTACGTGAAGTCCCTGGGATGTCGTAGATAAATGCTTTCATTGCTGTTACCTGTATCTGACAATCGCTCAGCTTGCCCCTGGTCAGTATATGGTCAGTCAGAACTTCATGACACCCGAGGTAGTAATGTACTGGGATACCGATTATCCAGATAAAGTAAGGGACACCTAACAAACATGCTTCCCATTGAGATTCTGACCGGATATAGAAAACAGTCTGCCCGCATTCTGAAGACGAAATAGTAGACAGAGTAAGGGAGCTAATGCTTGACGCTGTCCGAGTCCGACTGCGCGCTGATGTGGGCCTGGGGATCTATCTGAGTGGAGGGCTAGACTCGTCCGCCATAGCAGGTATGGCCGTGAAGCTTGTCCAGGAAGGAACCAAGCTCGGAAGCGACACAAGCGGTGAGCGTTCAAAAATAGACTGTTTCACGGTCCAATTTGAAAAGGATAGTGGGTTTGACGAGTCAGGTACGTCTAACAGCTTTGGTTCCCCCCCTTTTTTCTTGAATATACCCCATTAACGTTGGCAGATATCGCGCGACGAACAGCCGAGTGGTTAGGTGTGGGATATCACCCTGTATACTTGGATGAGGAGGCCATTGCCGCTAGGCTCGAGGATACAGTCTGGTATAGTGAAACGCCAGCCGCCAACGTCAATGGAATGGGGCGGCTGGCAGTAGCTGAGGCCGCCCAGGCTATGGGGAAAAAGGTCATCCTCACAGGTGAGCGTTGCTGTCCAATGTAGCACCAATGGCCAGTTATGTTAATAGTGCTTCGATTTTAGGCGAGGGCTCCGATGAGCACTTCTCGGGCTATGCTGACTTGCTACCGAATTTCCTTCTAGAGCCTGATCCTTCATGGCAACAGTCTCTCGCTCAGCAGACTGACTTCGCAGAAGCTTGGAAAGTCATGGAGGAAAGAAATCGAGTACTCGCGATGGGCATGGACGAAGTGGCCGCTCCAACAAAACGTATGCTTAACAATACCACGTTAAGCGCCCGATTAAGCACGATCACCACTTTGCCATACTCATCCTGGACAGATCAGTTTGTGCTGAGGAGCCCATCCACAGCATTTGCAGAGAACTTCGGTGTCCAGGTCCTCCACAAGATGATGGAGAAGTGGCACCCTCTTCATTCAGCGCAGTATCAATGGATGAAATCTGTGCTCGCCAATTATATCCTCCGCTATATCGGTGATAATATTGACATGGTCCACCAGATTGAGACGCGACCACCATTCCTTGACCATTACGTTACGGAGTATGCAAATCACATCCCGCCAAGCCTCAAAATCAGATATGATCCCGAGAGTAAAACTTTTCGTGAAAAGCATATCCTGCGTGAAGCTCTGAAGCCATTTGTTACAGAGGAAATCTATAAACGTACAAAGCACCCGTTTCTCGGACCATTTACATACCAAGAAGATGGCCCCGTACACAAGAGCTTAAAACGACTGTTGACAGAAGAAAATGTCAACCAGCTGGGGTTTTTCGACAACGATGGGGTGCAGAGCGATTTCGTAAAGGCATTTCGCGATAAGGATGGCATGTGCTTCAAGAGAGCATTCACTGTGGCCCAATACGTTGTCCTGGGACAACGATTTGGGGTCAAGAGGGCCCAGGATCCTGGATGCAGCGAGACATCGCCTGGGCTGCATGTATGAGCCAATTAAGAAGATAGCAGGCATTTCCAGAGTTTCATGAACACCTAATGATTCCCCTTTTATGGCATTTCATTCTAGTCTAGCAGAAGCCAAACGTTTGTGCAATGCGAGAAAAGGGTTCATGTGAGCATCCGAAGGGATAGCGTTCTCGTAAAACTGTCCGCGTCATCCATGGCAATAACGGTCTCACAGTGTAATTGGGGATCCCAACAGTTCTGAGACTCGTTCAATAATCGATAACCTGTAAGGGTTGATCCCATGACTTATCGGTGGCGCAGGTTTGCATCTGGTTGGCGCGTACTATTGAATGCAGTACATTGGAAGCCAAATGTTGCGATCCTCGGACATAGCTTAGTACTTGCTGTATGGACAACGTGCACAAGATTCGAGGCCTAAGATACATTCTTTTTGAGGCGGATCGGTCAGGACTTCAGCACCTGATGGCTCACCTCTCCACCTGTCAGCTGACCGGGCCGGGCTCGGGGCGCTCGGTTCTATCGGCTGAAGACGGATTAAGGTCCCGTGAAAAGCTGGAGAGCTATGGGGTGAAACATTGATGAGACAATGGCCGATTGAGCTGTTCGACCTTTATGAAGTGATATCTTTTGGTGATGTCAGTCCCTCTTTGACACTCAAGGCATCGGAAAGATCCTATTCTTGATTGATTATGAATGGCTTTGTCGAATTATAGAACCTTGAAGCACTCATGGGCTAGCCGATAAAGTTTTGCATATACCGTCAGTGGAATATTGACTTCGGGATGTTGCCAGGTAAACTTTCCTAGTACGTACTATGTCGAAAGTTGGAGAAGCGGGGAGCGGGGGAAACGTGGAGTTGAACGTGGGGGACTCGTTTCCGGAACGCAGATCTGAGGAAATTTATCCGTTGGTCGGTAACTTATGCCCATTCAAACACAACAGCCATTCATTGTAGACCATCACGGAGATGGTATCAAAATGCATCATAAGAAGCTAACATGCAACTCAAGGGGAGGAACTGTTTCTTGTTGTTTCTTCAGACAGATCAAGGTTGCCAACGAGTTTGTCGATCAAGTTACCATGGAAGGAATCATTCGCCCGCGGAAATGGACCGAAGTACTAGTACCGGCCACACATGACTAGTACAGGCCGCTCGGCCACTGTCCAGCGTGTTGCTTCTAGACTCCCTGCAGATAAGTGTGGAAAGGAGGTCATGTGTCCAACTCTTGCCTGGCTGGGAGTCTATATTCAATCTTTGTTTTTGTTTTTGCTGGTGGGTCTCATACTAATAGGTAATAATAATAATGAAGGATCTATTAGTGTCTTGACCGGTTTCCCGAAAATTCTCCGCATCGCTCGGTCTTCGAGGATTTTCTACTGATTGCCATAGGAAGGGCATGATTTTGTCCGCCTCGGGTACATGTCTCACGACAGATTTATTTCCATAGAAAGACTTCTTGAGATTCTTGGAGTGCTCAGGTTGCTATCAAGGGGGGGGGGGATTTGTAGCTTGGTTAACCCGCAAGTTCCAACCATGGAACTTCAACCAGCTTAGGCTTCGTCACCATTTCACTAATCAATGAAACCCAAGGAAGGAAATCAGTCTTATGACAGGATATCCAACATATTGACAGGCTGCAGGTTTCTGCTGGACTTTAAAATAGTTACACATGGCCCACAATGATTCGAACCCCATGAATCTGGAACAACGAGTGGACATGTGTAGGATTGCTATATGTCCAAGTCAATCCCCCATCACGTGTCGTATGGTCACGATGCACACCTGACGGAACGGGGAAAGTAGTACTTTTGGACGTGCGACAACTTCTGGGTGGTTATCGATCAAGTACCATCTCCTGCGGGTCTGGAACAAGGGCAACCCGACACCTTGAAACTTCCTCAGCAAGGTATAGAGAGAATGGACTAGAAAAGCAAAAGAAGACAAATAGAAAAAGATCATTCCCGGTCGAGGAAGATTAACCGCCACACAGCCCAACGACCCCGTGCGTCAATATTGTCGCACATGGCGGTTGTTATGTGGGGTTCTGGAGAAGTTGGCGAGCCAACGTGAGTCTCCCGGCCGGGGCAGATATAATTCAGAGTTGATTGTCTGTACAAGTATATTACAAGTGGTAAGTGGATGTTCCTGCGACAAGGTACAGTACATACCGTGGTAGAAGTACGGTTGTATACTAGCTTTGACGGCGGTACATGTACTAGTTCCCACTTTTTCCACTCCAGATTTCAATCGACCCTCCTAACTTCACTCCGTTCGTCGGAAACCACCTATCAAAACCTAAAAGAGGGGAATCTTTTTTCTCCCACGAACCAACCACCGGCGTCTAAATCGTCATCTCATATTTGTTAGCCTCTCCGAGTGGCGTCAGTCCAACCCGATCACTGATTCATGACGATTTTATTAACCACTGGCCCCTTTCTGTCCGTGATATCAATTCCAATGACTTTTCATTCCTGCATCTTGGCTCCCATGGTTAGCCGACGGAGAGCCATCCACTGGACTCGATTACGAGGTGAGTGTCCACTGTGTTTGCCGACATGCCCCCCGTGGTACCCCCTCCCTTCTCTTTTAATTAACAAGAGATAGAATTGCATCTGAGAAGACAAGAAGAAAAAGAAAAAGAAAACCGAATCTTTTCTCCCAGCCAGTGTGCCTCATGCCTATGGGTGGGGGATTCGGGTCTTGTCTGAGCTCTAGCCTACTGGATCGGCATCGAGTCCGCGCCTTCCGCCTTGCTCCAGTTGTCTCCGCAATCCTGCGGCCCTAGTGCAACTCTTATCACTGATGCCGCTTTCTCCTCACCGTTCGGCCTTTCATTATCTATTACTTGGAGTACTCGAGCCCCTTCCCTATCTATCCCACTTGCTTCCCGTCTGAAGGCGGCTAACCCTTATCTGTTCGACTCTCATCTGGATCTTGAGTTGACGCCCACAATCTCCGTGAACTCCCACTGGGAAAGCTCTTCTCTCATTATCATTATCATCATCATCATTATTATTATTATTAATCTTGCCTCTTTGTGTTTGTACAACTCACACCTTCTTGGCTTGGCATCTTCCTTGCCCTTTGATACCGATTTTCCATCCGGACAGCTCCCATGTCATCACTTCTTTGCTTGGGCATGGAAGACATTAAAATCCCTTCCCCATCTGCCATCTTAGACCCTCAGCCCGCCATTTCTCCAACTGGTGGACTTTCTAGGCCTCTCAAATCTCCCACCACTAAGAAATCGATATCAGGACAGACTGCCACAAATGCTCCCATCTCTGGAAAACCTAAGCAATCAAAAAGCCGTAACGGTACGGTAGCACTAGTTCTTTGAGTTATTCAAGAAGAAGAGATGAGTCGGATGAGAAAGAAAAAAAAAGATTAATAGAGGAGAGGAGAAAGAGAAGAAAAAATAATCAGAGGTCTATAAACGCGCAGTGCGCTGACGTTCTCAACTCTTTCACCATTCAGGTTGCATCACTTGCAAGGCGAAGCGGTTAAAATGCGACGAGTCAAAGCCAACTTGTTTTCAGTGCAAGAAACGAAATGTGGAATGTGGAGGATACAAAAAGGACTTCAAGTGGCGCCCATTCGAGGAAACTAACGTTGCGGGGAGGGTGTCGACGGCGAAAAGCAAAAAAGGTGCGTCCCGCTTAGCCTCACGAGAATCGCGAAGTAACTGATGATATGGCCCTATAGTCACCTCGTCTCCTCCTAACAGAAGAGCGAATCTAAGTATCTCATCTTCTACCACAGAGCACTCAGCAGCAGAAGTAAAAGACCAAACGGCTGCTTCGCAGTCGCTCCCCTCGGACACTAGTGATTTTGCCCAATCCCTTGCCCCTCACTTAAGTGATTCTTCATGTCAGTTGAACAAGCGTCGTATTATGCAGAAAAATCTCTCATTCTGCGCAGATAGTCTGCTGGAAAATGCAGACTTGGGACACATGGACGAGGACGTCTTTGTGCCACCTTTAGAAGAGATTGTGCCGCCAGATGAGTCTCCATGGCCATCGGATATCTCACTTCCCACTGCAGAGTTTGATACAAGCCCTGGGGAGACCACCCTCGCGATCCCGGGGGAAGAGGCTGTCCATGAATCCGACGACTTTAGCTTCGCTGCCCTGCTAGAAGGAGAAGGGGAAGATCTAGAAGCGATCGTCCGACAGTCGGACCCAAATATGAGCCCAAGCCTGTTCCAATTTGCAGGTACCAGTGTGTCTCCACGGTCTGGAAATACAGACATCAGTCTTGGTCTATTCAAAGAGCCTACGATATCTGCTGGTAGTCCTGAAAGGTTGATTCTGCACTTCGACAGATACACCTGCGGAATACTATCCGTGAAAGATGGAGCCCATGAAAACCCGTGGCGGACATTGATATGGCCACTGGCTAAGGATACGCCAGCCTTGTACCACGCAATCTTTTCTCTGTCTGCCTTTCACTGCAGTAAGAAAAACCCTTCCTTGAAGGTTTACGGGATGGAGCACATGCGCCGGAGCATCGCTTGTATGGTGCAGGACATACAAAATATGAGAGCGGATGCCGCTTTGGCCACAAGCCTAGCGCTCGCATTTGCTGACACATGGGACCGGGACACTCGTTCATGTATTCAACACCTACGAGGAGCGAAAGCGTTGGTATCACAAGTGGTGGGACTTGGATTGCAAGCTGGGTTGTGCGCAGCCGATCTAGATCGGATCCGATTCCTTTACAACACTTGGCTGTATATGGATGTTATTGCACGCTTAACCTCCCTGGAGGAATCTGGGGACCAAAAAATTGATCTATCCATCCTCCAGCTTCCCAAAGGCGCGGTGCATGAGATTGACCCTCTGATGGGCTGCGCCACCACACTATTTCCGCTCATAGACCGAGTTGCCCAATTAATCCAACGAGTACGGCGGACTAATTCCAACTCAATATCCCTCGTTTCGGAGGCTATTGAGCTGAAAAGGCGTGTTGAGCAATGGGAGCCTCCTGATTGGTTTGAACCCCCTGAAGATCCAACCTCAGAAGTGCAACACAGTTTACAGATCGCACATGCTTATCGCTGGGCAACCATTCTGTATCTTCATCAAGCTGTCCCAGAGATGCCTTGTGAGCCGGCGTCAGAGCTCGCCAAGCGAGTATTACTACTGCTGGCCACCGTTCCACCGAGCTCCCGCACAACGATTATTCAAATGTTTCCTCTCTTAGCTGCCGGATGTGAAGCTGATCAGGAGGAAGACCGGCAATGGGTGATAGGTCGATGGAGATCTATTCAGACCCGTCTCATGCTGGGTTCAATCGATCGCTGCATCGACGTCGTCCATGAAGTTTGGATTCGTCGAGACCAATTTGAGGCCGAAAAGCAGCGGCGACAGTTCCGAGGGGCGGGTCGTTCCAATTCCTTTGATGATCGGGAACCGGTTGGAAGAGATGGATTACCCTACGGGAACATGGCACCCGGGGATCTAAATAATCCCACTAGGTTTGCTAAAGAGTCATACAGAAGACCAGCAGCTGATGACCGGGCAATATCCTCCCGGGGAACTGGGAACCCTCGGCGGAGTTCTGCGGTGTCTCCCCTGGAAAACATCGAATTTGAAAAGACCGTTAGGGGAAAATTACATTGGGTCAGTGTTATGCAAGAATGGGATTGGGAAGGTAAGTTTCATTATTTCATCTATCCCCCCTCTGTTTAGGAAGAGACTGACAACTCAATCATCATATATATAGTATTTCTTGGGTGAAATCCATCCCGAAAGAGAGAAACATGGCTTCAGGTTTCACCACGCGGTTATGAACGATCCTGCGTCATAACACGGCTACCGCCAAGGTTCTCATGGTGTTTAGTACCTTGGGGCCGTTCCACGCGTTGCTGTGACTGCGCTGTTCCATGATGTTTGGACGAGCATCTCGATTGCTCGTCGACCCGGTCCTCCAACCCGGGGGACGCGGGTCTGTTTCTAGCTAGATAGCTGCGGAGGGAGGCCAGATATGGCTCTAGGTCGCTTGTTATCGACACGGTAGCCATTTTTGCCAAAGGGCGCAAGGGCTTTGTTCTTGTATGATTCAGTTTTTTGACGGCGTTTGCCTGTCTTGCAGCAACTGAGTGTTTACTATCTGGTGTGCAAATCAGCATGGCGTTTGGCTATTCCAGGAGAAGTTACGGACTTGGGCTTAAACACAGGTCGAGTGCGGAGCCTCGGGTTGCGATGGCTAGGTTCTGGTGTTTTCCGGGCATTTGACGTGGTTTTTGGTCGCCTTGGTAGAAGCAAGCTCAGGGTTTTACGTTGCGAACACAATGGCGCATGGGAGATAATAGATTTTTTTTGGTGTCCAGAGCCGTGCTAGGCGAACAGGAAGGCCTGCTTTCCGTATGGAATCTCGTAAGCTAGTGGGCGCGGTTGGCTGCTGGGTACGGGTTCCCGCAGGAAGGTAATATATCGTCAACTGGGCAGCAACAGAAACGGATATGCCGTGTATGTATGTACAACAATCTATCGGATTACTCTCTGGCACCGGCAACCGGGTCAAACCGCCAAGGGAAGTAGGTCGTTCAGGAGGAATCGTCAGTCCCACCGTGATAGAAGGGAGGTATCTGCGCGGGATTGATACGGATCGCGTTCTGCATTGGGTGTCTGCTGCGTCGAGGTGGGTGCCGTCATGAACAGTGATGACCTCGTCTTGTTGCTTGGGCTGAGTGGAAGTCGGGCCGAACGGGGGAACGCTCGTAATGATGGGTTGGGGGAAGGAATTAATGGAAGAAGAAGAAGAAGAGAAGGAAAAAGAAACGAGAGACAAAGAGATGGGGCGGTGTGGGATTTAAAGGGGAATGCACCAGTGGGAATCACACACTTGAGGGCACGTATTCGTAATCACACATCAAATTAGTACCGCGGATGATCTGATCCGGATCAGGAGAGGATTGCAGTATTGAGTAGTATTTGAGGAGTTGGATGGTATTGTCGGCATACTGGAAAGGGTGATCGTACCCCGGGTGGGGGTTGGTTTGGCATCCTGCAGTGGTATTGGACTCCGCCCATAATTAGGGGGGAAATTGCATGGGTTCACGCCCATTAATTAGTCTTCATTTCGCTTTCCTCTTTCGCCAGATCGGTGGATTTACAATCGACTGTGATTGGGGTTCCGCGGACGGATACCGGTGTGATTGAGCACAATTCTGGCGAATATCTCAAGATACAGATTGGTTCTTCTTCGTCTTCTTCAATCCCCGTGGTGGTTTGAGGTATTAATTGGTCCATTCCAGTGCGGACTTCGTCTTTGATCCATCCATCCATATTTCGAGCACTGCCGATCCGTGCCGTCCAATACCGCCATGAGGACGTCGTCTGCTAAGAGTCCCGTGCGCTGCGACAATGACTGAACAAAGTACACTCCTGCAGATCCCGTCTCGTGCCCTTTGCCCTCATCAAGATTCCTCTCTCCTAATGGAGCGTGACATAAGCCGAGGTCGAGTGCGGAAGATCTCCAGTCTCGTCGCTTGAGAGTTGGGTCATGATTCATGGCATGCGTCATATCGACCGTCGCGGGATCCCCATTTGTTGAGCCGGCTGCCAAGCTAGTCCCTCGTGGAACTCTGTCAGGGCCAGAATGGTTTCTCTTTCCCCCATTGTCGGGACGAGCTGATTTTTAATCCTTTGTGCAGATGGAAATTCTGGGGTCCGGCTGGGGTCTTATTGGGTGAGGGCCAGCTCGGCGCATGACTTTATGATGTCATGCATGGCGGTGGCTGTGACGGAGCGCCTTATTTATATGTGAATCCTCGACCGCCACTGTTGCTTGGGAACTGTTGCTTCTGCATATTATTACTATCCAGAGCGCTATTTTCGTCGGGATACATCAGACATCAGAGTATAACCGTTGTCTCCTTGTCTCTGCCGTACTGTATAATAAATACATCATGGATCTCATCTCGAAATTCGGCCACCTGAGTAAAGAACACAAGCGGAGAAAATCCACCTCCTCCAACGAAGAATCGAAGGATGACGAGGACCATACAGACCAACGGGGTAAGTGACGTCTCTTCCTCTCCCAGACTGCCATGGGATTGGTTGTAAAGGGGGGGGGCTTTTGACTAATGTGCTCTGCGTTTAGCATTTAACTTCCTGTTGGGGAATTTCGGTCGCTCTCACAATGATCATCCGGATAGGAGATCAAGCGGTGCGGGGAACATGGCAAGGGATATAGATGAATGGAGACGCAATAAGTAAGTGAGAGGCTTGTTTTCTATTCTAATTGGTCTTTCTGTCGTTCTTTGTCTGGGTGGCATGAACTAACGATTTACTTTTTTTTTTTTTTTTGCTGGAATTACAGAAAGAAGTCAGCACCGCCTCAGGAAACCGCCTCTGATTTGCGGCCTCAGGAAGGGCTCTCGAACTTGCGACCTCAGGAAGGAGTCTCTGATTTGCGGTCCCAGGAAGGAGTTTCGGATTTGCGGGGTCAATGAGCACAAATTGCAGTCTTTTATGGCGATCTGATTTCTTTTGTATTTGGGGAGTTTTTTTTTCTTCTGATATCTGGGGTCAAGGGGTGTTGCATTGTATTGCACATTTATTATGACATTATGATGATCGACGCTGTAGATAATGATGGTTATTTAACCTTATATTCCGTGAGTCTTGTTCGTGATTACTACTAGTAGTAGATGCGTCGTCTTGTGGTAAACTGCCCTTTTTATATAGTACTATGGTTTTAACTGGGTCTCATGGGCAATACGGACTAGTCATTTATTCCAATCAATCTAATTGGCTTCATTAGATGGGATACGGTAAGAAATGAAAGACAGGGAAACACTAACCCATCCGGGCAAAACAATCCAGTACCGGCGAACTTCCCCTACCCTGACTAATCTTCACTGATACTCGCCAACCAATTGCTATCAATCCCTCCGTGGCACCTAGTACTACTACTACTACTAGTAGTACTACTAGTAAGTAATCGGGTTTATCACTCGCATCGCTATCAAGGCACTATCACGGAGAACCCCAGGTCGATCGTAGTCTATTGATCCGACGGGTTCCCCTCACGACCCCTCAGTGTCGAGTAAACAACATCCTATGTGTTCGAGTATATCTTTCCGGGGCGCTTCCTGTATCCAACTCCAGCAGCTGGATCCGATGGTATACCTGTCTGTGTGATGGCGTGCGATGAAAGATCCGAATGGAATAGTATTCTGTTTGACGTTATAAAGCCATAGGCCTTGTGCTTCAGATCCGATCGAAATGTGAGCCACACTGTCTACCGATCAATTCTCGATCTCTACGAACGACAACAAGAACAACCACCGGGATCTTGGATAACATCAACTTCAAGCAAAATGCCTGCCGCCTTCACCTACTTCGCCAACGCCCAGTCCACCTTCAAGCCACCCCTCATCGCCAACGACAATGCCTACCTGGGGGACATAGTCTCGAGGTAAGCCGCCATCCCCCGCCATCCCCGCCATTTCAACCCAACCATTGGAGACTGACTCGGAATCTGTACCACGTTTAGTGAACACAATGACCCCGAGAAGCCCATCTCGGGCGGTTTCTACCGCCTGGAGAAAGGCACTCCGCTCGTCTACGAGTACCATTTCGATGAGACGAAGATCATCCTCGAGGGTGAGTTTGAGATCTCGGACGAGACCGGACAGACGGTTACGGCGGGTCCGGGGGATGTCTTTTATTTTCCGAAGGGATCGAAGATCACCTTCACGACACCGTCGTACGGCTTGGCGTTTTTCGTGAGTTCCCTTCTCCTCTTTTCCTTTTCAAGTTGATTGGAAGTTAGCGTGTTGAATGTGCGACTGTGTGAGTGATGAATATGGCTAATCAGTGCCTGGTAGACTGGACAACGGGCCAAGCTGTAACTGTTGAATCTGACATGCATATTCACGAGGGATGGGGTTTCATGGATCAACTGGGTCGATGACGACTGCTTGGGTTTTTTAGATCGAGAACAAGGGTTGCATTTTTCTTTTCCTTTTTTTTTTTTAAAAAAAATTTCAATTCCATGGAATCGCTTTCTACTAGTCTGGTGTCCCCACTTTTTCTCCTTGCGAAATGACGTCCGTTTGTTTACAACAGGTTGACGCATAGGCCTAACGGCCGAGGCGACGTTACATGGTCCTTTCTCCCACGCCATCGTTAAACACGGTGGAAATTGTATCTGCGTAGAGATGTAAGGGTAAGGATCTGGACGTGGTACTAGTAGTGTTATGAGTGAATGGCCATTTGTATGTGATCCAAACCCCTCGCAAAGAGAGAGGACTCGGACTAGACTTGCCACGGAGAATTCAGCCGCATAGATCGTCAGCATCCACTAACGATCTTGTTTTTTATTTTTCTTTTTTCTTCCCTTTTCTTTTTTTGGACAGGGAAGAGTGGAAGGATTTCCCTGGCGGATACTAGGTCGATGACTTGCAGGACGAGAAACCCACCCCATCACAAAATCTCCTATGATGATCCATCGATCACTCCCAAGAGATGGGATAGTCCAATCAGCAGGCCGTGCCTTGACAGCCGAGCCGATAAACTCGAATTATCCCCTGGGAAATCCGGCAGGTGCATCTGGATCGACCGTGTCTAGAGGGATCGAAGGAAGGGAGTTACCGGAGCAACGGGCGAGTAGGGCGAGCGCAGGAGAAATTAAAGCATCCACCAGCCATTCCGGTTGGTCCAGAAACTGTGGGGAGAACTTGAAGCCATTGGTGTGGCTGGCTGCAGGCGCTTCCGGCCTCAGGCCCCCAGGTCTTCCATTGGGGTCTAGTAGTTGTTCAGCTCTCAGCTTCAATCTCCATATCCCTGTCTCTCTCTCTTCCCTCCCCCCTCCCTGTTTCTTCTTGGTTGATCTCCTCCACGATCTCAAACCCCATTCTACTCATCTTAGGACAAGAGATCAAGTAGCGAGTGTGACTCCGTTCTGGTCTTTGTCCCTCGTCTTTCCCTCTCTCTCCAACCCCCCTCCTCTGTCAAACAAAGCCATTCTTCAACATCGGTACCCGACTTGCAACGGCAGTGGCTCTGGACGGCTCCCGCGTTCTTTGTACCGCTCGTTGCTTTTTCCTGGTTCTGAGTGGGTTTCACTTTATTTTTTTGTGAACCTCTCACCGATATTTCCACGACTCGTGCTACTTGTTTGCTTTTTCTTATTTATTGCTTTTCTTTTCTTTTTTTTTTTCCCCTGCAAGTTTTGGTCCCCTCTAGCGACCAGCGGAAAAAACACAGCAGCAACCCCTCGGCTCGCCCTTATCAAAGGGGTCGTCGGCCATATTTACCCGTTTGATCAGATCCAACGTGTTCGAAGAATTACCCTCTCGTGGTGATGACACTCAACTTTGCCCGCGAGTCGAGCGATCGACCAGCGCTCCGGCTGCCCAACCCCCCTCCCCTACTACATACCCGTTCGGGCAACGAGCTGGATCGCCCCTCCACGCCTTCGCAGATGGGTTTACCAGTCCTGTCCAGACGCCACAGGGCAGTCCTAGCAAAAACAGATTTCCCCCGGGCGCCCTAGACCTACCAAATGTCTTCGATAAAGCGATGAAGCTCAACCCCACCTCGCCTAACAAGGGCACCTACGACCATTATAATCACCCTATGTTTCTCCGAAAAAATCGGTGGAAGACTTCAGTGAGAGCGTCATCCGACAGCCTCCAGGGAGTCCCACGCGCAAGGCAAATAAGGAGAACACACCACCGAGTCCGACGCGGGTGACCAAGGACCTCGGCCCAAATCCCGCTGCGGCCGCCATCTCTCGTCACCAGCCGTATCAGCCACGCGATGTCGAGAGCATTCAGAGACGTCAGGTGCAGATGCGGGGGTTGACACCGGAGGAGTTGGAGAAACTGCAGAATCCTCGGGTAAAACGATTGGTAAACGTGACACAGCTCTGTAGGTGTCCCGCACGCATTGTGAACCGGTGGGATCGAGCCTGCTAACCGTTTCTAGATTTCCTCGACCACTATTTCGACCTACTCAGTTACGTGCATAATCGCCAAACTCGCTACTCTCAGTTCCGAACGGCCTACCCGGAGCCGCCCGCAACTTCCATGGATGACTACGAGCCGGCCCTCCTCAAATATTTGGGTCGGGAGCGGGCCCACCTCCGCAAGCGCCGCACCCGTCTCCGCCAACACGATTTCCAGATCCTGACGCAGGTCGGCCAGGGTGGCTATGGACAGGTGTATTTGGCGCAGAAGAAGGATACCCGGGAGGTGTGCGCATTGAAGGTCATGAGCAAGAAGCTACTGTTTAAACTGGACGAGATTCGGCATATTCTGACTGAGCGCGACATCCTGACGGCTGCCAAAAGTGAATGGCTAGTTAAGCTACTCTACGCGTTCCAGGATGAGGACCAAATTTACCTTGCGATGGAGTATGTGCCGGGTGGAGATTTCCGCACACTGCTCAACAATACAGGAGTCCTGCACAACCGCCATGCGCGATTCTATATCAGTGAGATGTTCAGCTGCATCGACGCCCTGCATGCGCTGGGGTACATCCATCGCGATCTGAAGCCGGAGAACTTCCTGATCGATTCCACGGGCCACGTGAAGCTGACCGACTTTGGCCTGGCGGCCGGTATGCTGAACCCCGGCAAGATCGAATCCATGCGCGTCAAGCTGGAGGAGGTGGGCAACACTCCAGTGCCGTTCGGTCGTCCGATGGAGCAGCGCACAATGGCCGAGCGACGCCAGGGATATCGCACGCTCCGGGAGCGTCAAGTCAACTACGCCAAGTCTATCGTCGGATCGCCAGATTACATGGCGCCGGAGGTATTGAAGGGCGAGCAGTATGATTTCACGGTCGACTACTGGAGCTTGGGGTGCATGCTGTTTGAGGCCCTGGCGGGATACCCACCTTTTGCCGGTGCCACGGTCGATGAGACGTGGCAGAATCTGAAGAACTGGCAAAAGGTGCTGCGCAAACCAGTATATGAAGACCCGAACTACTTTCTGTCGCGACGGACGTGGGATCTGATCACGAAGTTGGTAGCGTCGAAGGAGAGACGGTTCAAGAACATCCACGAGATCCACGCCCATGACTATTTTGCGGAGGTTGACTTCAACCGGCTGCGCGAGCAGCGTGCGCCGTTTGTACCCGAACTGGATTCGGAGACGGACGCAGGCTACTTCGACGACTTTACCAGCGAAGCGGACATGGCCAAGTACAAGGAGGTCCATGACAAGCAACGCGCATTGGAGGAAATGGCAGAGCGAGACGAGAAGATGAGCAAGGGTCTATTCGTCGGGTTCACATTCAGGTACGTTCGCCCGGCAATCGGCCATGACACATGGTTTCTAATGAACGGATATAGGCATCGCAAACCGGCCATGGACGGAGGACGTAGCTCACCGCGCAAACCCATTGCGACGGATGGGTCGTTCGGAACGATGTTCTAACGCATATCTTCTTTCCCTTCTTCAACTTTTTCTTTCCTCCTTACTGGCACGGTACGAGCTGGATCTCGAATTGACCATGACTGGATTTGATGAGCGAGTATATGTTTAATGTTCACGTCTGACTGTATGCATTACCGGGTCAAGGGTCATGGTCTGGAGTTGAGTGTAATTGCTTGTATGATACATAGAGGTATCGTAGACTGATAAACGAAATCCAAATTTTCAAAACCAAGTCATCCCAGGGAAATTGTAGCCCAGAAAGTCCTCCCCACGAAAGGAAAGAATTTAGTCCACATCCAACTGATGCACCATCTTCAGAATCTCCGACTCATTATCCCCAAGCACAGCCCGACCATTTGTCCAATCCACCGTCTAAGAAGACCGCATTAGCCAAAACCCCGATCCCAAAAGCAAACCTCTGATTTGAAAGAATAGAATGAAAAAGGAAAAAGAAAAAAAAAAAGGACTCACAATAGGCCTAACAAACCCCTGCGCCCCGTTCTCCTTGAACTTCTTCACCGCATCCTCCGCATCCCTCGCCCCTTTCACAACCTGCTCAACCCCATACACCACCCGGTTACTCCCCGCTCCTGCCGGATCCGCCGTCACATAGTCCAGGATATTGCGCAACTGATCCGTTGTCGGCGCCTCGGTCGTCACTTCCAGCTGGAACTCGCCCCGTTTGGTCGTCTGCGGCTCGCCCGCTTCGGCGGCGGCGAGCGCCCGTTGTAGCGTTTTCAGGGCGTTTTGGGACGCCGGCGCGCTGGGACTGTGAAAGAGAGTAATGGGGTCGAGGGTTTTGGGCTAGTCGGTTGGTGTTAGTTGGTTCAATTGGTTGGTGATTATTTATTTCGGAGAGGGGGGTTTTAGAAGAAGGCATTTGGTTTGAATTGGGTAGGGTAGGATTGAGCTGGATAGGAATTGGGGTTTGGGTTTGGCACATACGAATCGGAAGACCATTTTGGCTGCCTTTTTTTTTTTTCTTTTCTTTTTCTTTCTTTTGTAGATTGGATGAGTTATTTAGGATGGGAGATGTAAGTGATTGATTGGGTGTTGTACTTTTGGTTTGGTTTGTTCAATGCGTGAGTCGGAGGTGGTTGGGCTTGATTACGTCATGCCCGCCGCGTTTTGGATGGGCTGCTGTTTCGGGTTTAGCTTCGTTTAGTACCTTGGTCGTTATTGTCGGGGGGCCCGATTAGGGAAGGTGTTTTTGTGGAGATCTTGTCGTCGATTGATGGAGTAAGCCCTGGGCGAGAAATGGACATGATATGCTTCTGGTGTGCGGTATGGCATATGGAATAGTATTTACCTGGGAAATGCAGGTTTGTGGTCTTAGTACTTGCGTGTGCTGCTGTGCACAGTATTTCGGGTCCCGTCCAGAGATATTGGAGCCGGTGGATAGCCTTGGGGATATAGATGGATGGCTCGACGGGGACGATATTCTGGCGTTTCTAGGGTATGGGTGTTTCCTTCTTGTATTTGCGGCACATGTACTGGTTCTTGGGATTTGGTCCTTATGTGAACATACAGCTGAAACTAGAGTAGGAGTTGCAGCATGCCGCAGAGAGGGATAGCACCCATATTGAAGGGATCCCAATAGCTGTGTATGCTGATTGGGATAGGAGTATCTTATATAAGTATGACGTACGAGGAAGATGGCATTAGGGTGCAGAATCCAACTACTATGAAAAGGGGCCCGCACTATATATCTATCACATACTTGATGCATAGCCTTGATTACCAACGTTGAGGCTGTGGGGTATTCCTCATAAGCCGTGCTGCAAGAATATTTCCAGTAGCTGATTGTTCGTGTATTCAAGGGTCTAAGAGGAAGGAGTTGAGATAAGCTATTATCCGGAATGATCAAAGGGATAGCATGGGGCCTGTGATTCAGGTACTATATAGTACTTAATCATCCATCACGAAGTACTTACGTGCATAAGCCTATTCCTACAGTTACACTGGCGGGTTACCTCGCTTGGGGACTCATCTCATTCGCGATCGTGTCGAAAGTAGATGAGGTTGGATATTCTCCCTATCAGAGCTGACATGATCGACCCCAGTTGGATAGCGGCACAAGAGTTAAGTGAGTGGCTTGCGGAAATGTTGCACGTATGTTGTATCCTGCAGACAATTCGAAAGACACCGGCTGGTCTGACCTACAAACCGCTACCCATGTCCAGGTTACGGGCCACGTAAGAGGCAGTGTGATAACGTAGCCGTAGTTTGCTCTTCGTTTTCTGAAAATGAAAACCAGGTGCTCCATATAAGGCGAACCCTACTAGGCTTACAGGCATGTCTTCATCATCCCGTCTTTTTGGCTTTCATATCAGTTCTAGTGTATTCTACATCATGTCATTTGTGATTCCAGATTTTGGACTTCTCAAGAGTGGTTTGAGTCTGGTCGTATGGGACATCGTAGGGTTTGTGCTCCGGCGATTCACCGTCCACTATTTCTTCTACCTTCTGTCATTGACAATGTGAGTTGCTGTTCGATTCTCGGCGTTATTCTTATCGTCATCTAAGTGTATAACACACAGCAAGTACTGAAAGGGCAGTGGAGAACCAGTCGCTATCAATGTATTCGGGCAGACGATCTACTTCATCCTCTCTGAGCAGGATGCCACTGCGGTACTGAGAGAATCTCCACAACTGACACATACGGAACACGTCAAAAATCTCCTAAGGGGCCTTGGCTGCTCGGAATCAGGGACTCGGGGATGGATCGCGATTCCCAATCGAAAGCACCAGTTAGTCCTGGTGGTAGAGGAATTTCATGAGGAGGCAGCTCCTTGAGAGGTCTTTGAGTACTGAGCTACTAGCTCGGTCGTTGAAAGTTCTTGAGTCCCTTGTTCGATGGAGTGAAATCGATGTACCGACTCTCCCCCGGACCTCTGAGGACGGACAGGAGCGAACTGTCTCGCCATGGAAGTGGGCGCAGACCACAGTCATCCGTGTCGTTGCAACAGCCTGGTTTGGAAATGCCATCTGGGGCCTCTCGCCGTGCATCGGCGAGGATCTGGTGTGTCTTGAGTATGACCTGTGGAAGCTGCTCTTCAAGCTACCACGGCTTCTCTCTACGCCCATCAATAGAAGAGAGTCGCGCTGGGGAGTGTGGGTTGGTAAGATTCGATGGGTACGCGATGGTGAAGTGTACAGAGCTATCGCAGCTTAGGGACCCATACGACAGGTTCAATTCCGGGACCATGATCACTATCCAATCTGATATCTGGGAGAACACACACGAGCTGGAGTTTTCTGACTGAGTCTAAACCAGGTTCACACAGTTTTATTACTCGCAGCTATTAAATATTTCCATGTAGCAGGGATTTGGCAATACAGCTGAGTAAGCACACATGGTCAGACATTGAGGCAATTGACGTGGTCGTATCGTGGCAATTACACTAGTAGGGCTTGTTGTCTCTGTTTAGCCCGTAAAACACCAACAGTTCCGGCCCCCCTGACTTTCTCTGCTCTCAGCTTCCCTTCCTTCTTCTCTCCTCCAATTTCCCCCATCGGTTTGTTGACCCTGAGTATGTCTAGCATCGGCCCTGTCCTTGTTACCGGCGGCAATGGCTTCATAGCCTACCATATCATCGCCAAAATCCTCGAGGAGGAGCCCGACTGCAACATCCACTCAATCGATGTAAACATCGACCGCAACCGCCATCCCAACCCGAACGTGCACTACCACCATGGTGATTTGGCCTGTACCAATGACGTGCAGCGCATCATGCAGATCGCGCGCCCTGTGACCATCTTCCATACTGCATCTCCCGAGTTCTCCGACGCCCCGGAGTCAGCTTATCACCGCATCATCGTTGAGGGCGCCCACCACCTCCTAGATGCGGCTGTGAAGGTGAACACCGTGCGAGCCCTAATCAACACTTCAACCTCGGGCGTTATCAACGACAACCACACTGATCTCATTGATGCCACAGAGGAAATGCCAATATTGCGCCCGCCGCGCCAGAAGCGACTCTACTGCATCGCTAAAGCATATGCAGAAGACGCCATCCAAGCTGCCAACCGCAATGGCGGCCAGGATGATCGGGGCATCCTGACCTGCGCGATCCGACCCTGCCTGGTATTTGGCGAACGCGACGTCGGCACCTTGGGCAAGATGTTCGCCGTCGCGCGCCAAGGCAAGTCCCGGTTCCAGATTGGTAATGGGCAGAACCCTTACGATTGCATCTACGTGGGAAATCTGGCAGATGCACACCTCCTAGCCGCTCGTGCCCTTCTCAAAGCCTGGGGCAAGCCTCCCCCGGCAGACGCATCTACCCGTGTCGATGGTGAATGCTTCCATATCACGAATGAAGACCGCTGGCTCTTTTGGGACTTCCAGCGGGCGGTTTCCGCCCTCTCGGGCAACCCAATCCGGCGGGAGGATATTGTGGTTATCCCGAAGTGGGTCGGACTGACGCTCGGGTTCGTCAATGAGTGGGTTGCCTGGATAGTTTCCGGCGGTACAAAACCTGCCAATATGACCCGTGAGGGTATACGCTTTAGTACCCTTATCCGCACGCTGAATGGAAACAAGGCCAAAAGGGTGCTTGGGTATCGCCCTAAGGTGGGCATGGAGGAAGGCCTTGAGCGGAGTGTGCGTTGGTTCATGGAGAATGCAGAAAAAGATCATTCATGATTATCCCAGCATGGTTCGTTCTCACAGAATTGAGCTATTTACTTATACAATTCAGAACTGGCTACTTATATCATGTAAGCACGTCAAACATGGCAGACTACCTGGTATCATATTGGGCGGCAAATTACCAAGGTTCGCATCACTAGTACCTACTCCGTCGGGGTGTACCGAGTAGTAACACTACCCCGTCATCTGTGCCAATAAGATTACTACCTACTGTGGTAAGTTGCGAAAAGATCCCAATGGGTGTGATATATATAGTTTGCTTATATAAATTTGACCAGCTGTAGTCAACGGTGTCTCCTTCAGTGGGATACTGCTGCAATGAATAAGAAAGTCGCTAAAAACGCCGAACCCAGCATACTAAGGCTTGTGTACGAAATGAACATGCAACCTGTTGAGAATCCGTTAAAACAAAAAATGACCAAACGATGCGGACCGAGTCGACGATAGCTTCAGTGGTTACATCGGACAATGATGAGCCTGCCTCCCTAAGTTCTATTCTCGTAATATTGAACAACATGTACACCAACGACATTTATGGAGCCCTTTTCTTTAACTGTAGGGTTGTCTATCCAGGGAGAAGTCTCAGGATGAGCAGATGGCAGGACGATGGACTTTACACTAGAGGTTGCGCTTTAGAATCGACTTGAACGTTTTGCCGCGTATTGTCAGGCCTTTCATTTCAGTTGTTTACCTCTGGGATAACCCTGGGTATGCTCCAGCCGTGGATACTGTGCGACCATTTTCACGATTACCCTCATCCGTCCAAGCCAGCAGCCTCCGGTGTTGTATGAGTGTAATATTCATATTGACAACATCGAGTGTATTTTCTTGGCCGAATAAGTCCAAGTATATATCCTAGTATGTACGAGGAAGTGCTAGTTGGATAGCTTCATTAGTTAAATCATTCATACACTCAATACATGTATCGAAAATAATTGACCAGAGTACAAACCAGATACTTTAGCAGAATATACGACCGGAATAAAATACGTACTAGGTGTTTCACTACAAACACAGGGCCCGCAATACAGTACATATACTAGCGCCTGTACTCATGCAGCTAAGACCCTTATCCACAAAGTCTATCTTATCAGGACCCAACTTAATTAATCTCCCCTTTCCGCTCTCCACAACTCAATTCCAACAGCCAACCTGGCAATTAAACACCAACACAACACATACCAAAAAAAAAAAAAAAGAGACAAGGATGGACCCCGACGCGAGCATCACCCCGGACCAACCCCCGGTATTCAACTACATCCTCTCCTTCCTCCTAGTCGGCGTAGCATGGGGCTTCACAACCCCCTTCATCCGCCGCGCCGCCGCCGACTTCAACGTGCGCCAGGAGCAACACTCGCAGCCCCAAGCACAAGCACAAGCACCCCACCCGGAACCCGACGCACAGGAACTGCAGCAAACAACCGCGGAGCCCGAACCCGAGACCTCAGGCGACGATGAAGACCACCCCTTACCACCAGCAGCAGCAGCTTCTTCTACCACAGGCACACAGCAACAACAACAACAGCCCGCTTGGATGCGCCCCTCGCCTTCAACCTCCGGCTGGCTCAAGACAAAAATCACATCTCTGTTCTGGACGGTCATCAATCTCCTCCGCACGCCCGCGTACTCGGTTCCCTTGATTATTAACTTGACGGGGAGTATCTGGTTCTTCCTCCTCGTTGGGAAACATGGTACGTCCCCTTTCACAATTGAGATCAGGGTCGGCCCTGGAGAGAATGTGTCCGTTTGCTGATTGATGAGCATAGAACTGTCCCTGACGGTTCCGCTGGCTAATTCCAGTGCTTTTCTCTTCACCGTTCTGGGGGAGTGGTATGTGGAGCGGAAGGTGATTGAGAAGGAAACTTGGTTGGGGATGGTGCTTGTGTTGGGTGGGATTGCTATCTGTGTTAAGTCTAAGAGTTAGAGATACGGTAATTATTTGTAGACCTGGGATATGTATGTGTATGTGATACTGGGCATAGAATAGAAGATTGATGATGTGTGTACTTGGTTTGTTTGGGTGGGAAATAAAAAGGGAAAAAAAGAGTGCATCATCCGTGAATCGAACACGGGCCTCATCGATGGCAACGATGAATTCTACCACTAGACCAATGATGCTGCTGAGCTATTGGCTCTTGATGGAAGATTGGGGCTTATTTTGTTTTATATTCCACTCTGGGAAGCATTCAAGCATAGGGCAGAGGTATATCAAAACCGCCCAAGTGCCTCCTCTCAGACTAGAGTTCAAACAATAATATCCTGGTTCCTCAACGCTTGATAGACCTACATACTGTGTTGGGTAATACTGAGTCTGGTGCCCTTTCGTCCCCTTCGACTGCACTCTAATTGACCTTCTGCAACACGTAGACTACCCTGCAAGGTAAGGCCTCTGCAGGCATCCCTGGCTGGCCAATCTATTTCGGCAAGGATCCCACTCACTGCCTGCTCAACGGTTTCTCATTGATTGTCCAGGCTGAAGTGTTATATTATAAGCCTGCATATGACCGTGAGGTTGGTGCTTGGTTAAGGAAGGATATAACTTCTGCACTATGTTCTGTGAACATTACTCTTTATCGATCATAGGCTTGCTGAAAAGATCAAGAAACTACCTTGTCCTACTAAATACATCTAAACGAGAGATTTTTTGTAGTTGAATAAGCATTCCAGGCGACACTGAAGTGCAGAATACTATACAAGACATGATATGCCGTTAGGGCGACAATGGACATTACCACAACCTGCCACTATTTAATTTCCATGGTGAAATGTACAGCTTTCGAGTCTATCTATGATCGAAGACTGTAAACCTTGATATACACTATCCCATGGAATTGGTACAGATGCAAATATCGTTATATTCGCTTCCAAAGATTTATTTTATGATCCTGGATCAGATATTTCATCGCGTCATGGGCGACAGAGCTATCCTTGCCTCGTTCAAGTCGATTGCGTTGAGCCTCCGGGAGATCTCTGGGCCATTGATGTGTTTCGTTTATGACCATGGTGGCCAACTCTTGAGGAAGCGAATGGGCCGATGTTACTAGTGATTGTGCTTCTTGTGCCCACCAGTCATGCCGCTGCGGTGGTACATTCCGTGTAGAGCAAATGCGGTAGTATGGATCGACGAGCCACAGTGTCAGAAATCGAAGGTGCCCGGGCTCAGATTTGGAAATCAGCTCAAATGGCTCCATGCGGTGGTGAAGTGCGTTTGGAAAAACTATAAGACGTCCCTGGCCAATTGTCACAGACCCAAGCTCCTGAAGAGCAGGTTTGTCATCTTTGACGCCGAATAATTCTTCCAAGTACGGTACATCCCATCCCTCAAACTGATACACGTCTGAATCCATATCAATCTCTTGACGGAATAAGAGCCTGCTACCTGTCACGTTTTCCATGTCGAAGAAATAGACTGCGACTCCCACAATGTGCTCATTACGAAGGCCGTCTGTATGCCAATCCTCGCCCGGGTAAGATGGGCTTTCCGGTGTTAGTTCAATCCCTCCCATCTTCACAATGATTTGTAGGCCTTTATCGCGAAATGTTTCCTGGAGCTTCACTGTATAATACTCATGATCAGTGCAACTCATGCCAGGGGCCTCTTGGATTTTGTAACGATCCATTGGGTCTTTCATATTAAGTTGTGAACGCCAGATCTTCGGGTCTGTGTTCCACTGTATGTCATGTTCCGTGGGGCCAACAATAGATTTCGCAGTTTTCCCTGCCTTCCATTCGTCATACGAGTAGAGACCCGGGTCGGAATGCTCGAAGCGAAACAGGCGACTGTATTTTGCATCGACCACGTCTTTCAAGGATACCGTGCTCTCCCAATCCTGTGGGATCTCCTTTGTTTCAAGACCTTGCCATTCGACTTTAACACCATATTCTGGAAGGGCAACATAGTCCTTGACGCGGGCCAGTGTGTTGTGGTATACTTCGAGATTATCATCCAGTTCCGTTGGCAGCTCTTCTGCCCACTTTGGATACACGTTTCTCCATTCAACACCAAATGTTTGAATTCTCCGGGGCGCCCTGCCCCGTGGGGAAGGCAAATCAAAATCCATAGGCTCTCCTTTGATTAATGTCTCATTCCATGGTTCGATGACTAGAGACATTACCTTTTCAAGCGTTTCATAGAAAGAGCGTTGTCTGCTCGGGTGCAGGTCGTTGATGTAAGAGGTAATTCGTATGTCTGTCGATCCCACTGGCCCACAGAACTCTACCTCACAAGGAAGCCACTGGAATCGGTGAGAGAACAGCAATGTTCGCGCGGTACGATAGCTTTCAGGAAGCCCCTCCAATCTTTGACGATCCTGGTCGTGCCTTGGTGCAGCCTCGCCTTGTCCGTAGGTTTCCAATGTTTGTTCGAGTGGAACACAGCCGCCATTCACTAGAACGCGCGTCTGTCCGTAGATAAGAGGGAAAAGAGATGGGTCGATTATATTCCAAATCTGCTTGTTGGAACTTGGTTCCCAGTCTTTCTGGTCTCCGCACTCGGCCGACAGATCAGAGACAAACTGTTGGATCTTCAAGCCAACGGACGAGGGGATGATAGTGTCGGATTTACAGACAGCGCTGCCGGAGTTTAAAACTAAAATCTGGCCAGTTTCTTTAAACTGTATGGCTTTATCGCGCAATTCAGCCAAGCACCATTCCCATGCCTTGCGGCTAATGATCGGGCGCACCATGGCTTCTTCCTTCCACTTTGCGGCAGTGCGCTTGTCGAATACAAGATTATACCATCCAGGTCGATCCGTCAGCGTTTCCATCAAATTCAACATGGCCAACTCCCGGACCGTCAGAGGAGAGCTGTACCAGTCCATCGGGACCGCATCGTAGAATCTGTCCTCGCTTTCCAGGGACAGTTCAAGAGGAATATTGTTAAATCCGGGAACCTTCAAGGGGCCCGTTCCGGAGTTGTCGAGTTCATTGTTACCCATGGTGAAGAGGAGTCGAGGTTAGGAACACGGAGAAAGGTTGAAAGATTCGATATCGCTCTGAGGGAGTACTGGATTAATATAGGTATGCCCTTGTGAAGAGGCGATGGTGGAGTCGCACGGAGGAATATGGCTCCGTTGTTAAAAGCAATAGTCAATGAATAGTAGGTTTTTATTGATGAATTCATATATGTAAATAACAGTTGGTAAGTGTAATTCAATACAGCCCTACGCGGTAATATTACCGAACTCAAATTGTTAACCCTAATCGACAAGAATGGATGTTCTTTTAACCAATTTACGATTACTCGGAGTACATATTTGTGAATGATTCGGTGTATTTAATATACAGAATAGGACGTAGGCTGTAGCAAGGCCTTGCTTCAGCACTTATTGACGCGCTTCAGGATATCTTTGACTTTCACAACCACAGCCTGATGCGGTGCGAACCCTTTGTCGTCGGCCACAAACTTTGCGTCTCGCATTTCTTTCACAGCCTCTTTTGTCTTGTCTGAAAATTTATCGTAATCCGGATACTTTTTTCCTGTCGCTTCAGTGTCGTAGGCTTGCCATACGCGCCCATCATCCGTGGTTCGTGGGCTCTTGACGTATTCGACGCCCATCCGCTTTTCGAGCTCTTCATTGAACCATCTCATGTTATCAGCAACCCGGTTTTGCTCGACGAGCTTCAGCGCAGTCTTTATGTTGTTCTTTTCGCTCTCGACGCTGGAAAAGGATAATTTTTCTTTGATCTGTTCTTCAACGGCTTCAAACACTTTTGAAAAGGGCACCTTCCCTATGCCCTCTACAAGATGAGCAAGATCATACTTGCATTTGAAACCGTTCTCCCTCAATTTTCTGGAAGTCTCTGTGATTCCAGCAGTACCAGCATTATTGATGATGTTCTGGAATTTTGTTTTATGGACTTGGGATTTCAGCCTAGTTTCCAGAACGTACTCCAGGAATTCTGGGTAAGTGCAGGGAGCATCGACTTGTGCCGCTGGACACCCTTTTGCAAGCTTTCGCCTTTTCGGGTTGCTCACGGTTTTGAACTCGATCAGGTACGCATTGTAGAAGAATAAAGTCTCTGCGGGGCCTGCCGTGTTCGAGGCTAGGGCTGTCTCTGTGAGAAGCAGAAGACAGGAAAGAATGAGAAGAAGAAGGTACTTCATAGCCAAGCGTGGTCTTTTTCTTTGGTTGTTCTTTTTGTGACTAGAAGGGGGGCCATGAGAATGGATTGCAGAATCTTTTCGTTCTATGGGGAATTTATACATGTAAAATTTAGTATAGACATTCGACCTCCTAATAATTGATCAGGAAATTACTAGCTGAGCCTTGATGTAACAACCCTAGGGAGAGATAACTTCCTTGGTAACCCGATATTGTTATTCAAATACCAACCCAATGTTTTTCATCCACTTTACGATTTCAGCAGTCCTTTTCGTCTGCGCAGGCATCGTGATCCTGTACCCTAGACGCGACCCTACTTGAAAACGGAGGTCGTAGAGAGGCCGTAGCGATGTCAGTAATACCGATACATACCACGCTCTCTGCCCTTCATTAATTTTAATAAGAGTCTAGATATTACTTGTCTTACATTGAGCTGTCCAATCAGACCGCCAATATCAAGTCGGGTTCCTCGGATAGTAAATGATGCCCGGTACCAGTACGAGTATAGTTACGTAACAAGAAGCATCAAGTGAGACATACCCCATGTATACTATTGAAAATTAGGGACGATACTAAATTAGTTCCACGCATCTACGGAGTAGGACTTCCTACTTCGGACCCCGGGGGGGGAGTTCTTTCACCCCTTCATATAGTGGGGAAGAATTGATCACCCTTGGCTTAAGGCTTGTGCTCGAATTTATCCGAGCTTGGACGGCAGGAACCGTGATCGACGGCCCTCAACAGCTCACGGCCAAGAAGTAACTTGGCACTTGCTTCTAATCTTCAATAAGCACGGTCCTTTGAATTTTTGTTTGTCTTCAATTACCTTAAACCCCCCATCCTTCTAGTATTCCTAGTTCTTTAGTTCATAGGCGCCGTCTAGTAGTAGGTGGGGTTATGGAAATTACTCCGTAGTTGAATTGGTTTGGTAGGCTACGTTAGGGCAAAATAGGGTCAGCTCCTACGCCGCACTACTAGTAAATACCCCATGTAACATCACCTGATTTATAGCAATAAAAAGAAAAAGGGGGTCCCAATCTTGGCATCATCTACTTCCCATTTCCAACTCTTTCCATTCTCCACCGTACAGAACGGCGAACGAGTCGGTTCAAAGCTAGCAGATAAGTCGACCTCTTGCGACTTCGCAGCAAGCCTCGGGTATCACTCCAAGCCATTTCCCAGAAGCTGTCTTTTCATACTACTACCGCATTCTGGAGGGAGACCCGGTAGTACTGCCAGGCTCCCTTTGGTCTGGTAAACCATTCTATGGGACTCTACAGTGGTTCACTCGGAGAATAAAACATACGGATAGCGTATATCCCGGTGCAAGAGACTGGGTCTAATAGCACCCAGGGCTATACCGCACATGGTACATTACCTGCTCAGCTCGTGACCGTGAGTGGAGTCGTGGCACCGGTAATTTTCTTTTTGATGGACTCTATAACATACTCCGGAATATAGTAGCATCATCCTGAATGGTCCTAGTCAGGTATACTAAGCCTGAGCATGGGGCAATATCTCAATTATGGCTATACAACTTCAAATTGAGTTTTTCACTTGGTGTGAAAATTTTTCCTCTAATGGACATGGTAGGGGTCTCTCACGCAATATATAAGTAGCCAGTCATGGCCTTTGTACGGTCTGTCATGCAGCGGCAGTAGCAGCAGCAGGAGGTCCTGTATCTTTCTTTCTTTCTTCTTTCCTTCATGTCTATGACCAACACATTCATTCTGGGGCTTTTTATTCGTTTCTTCTCATCACTCGTGGGAGCTGCTCATCTCTTTTCTTGTCCCTCCCTATCCTTCCTTTTCTATCTCTGATCTTTTTTTTATCTTGAATTGAACCCCTTATTACGGAGCAAAGATGCTGAGTCTTCTTGTAAAAGCTGCGCTTGTCGGGCTCACTCTTGCTTCTCACTCGCATCATCGCCACATTCATCGGCGTCATGGTAGCTCTCATGCGCATACCGCATATACAGACCTAGATGTTAGCCGTCATAGGCTAAACACTAGCACAACGCTGAATGAAACAGAGAGTTCATCATTTCCGGCAGAAATGTTGCTGAACATAACGCCCTTGCACCCCATCGAGGAGGAAAAAGGAGCCTTTGCCCATTTCATGGTAAGGAACCCAACCTCAACCTTATCGATTTAAATGTAAAGGCATCCGGCTAACCTTTTAGGTTGAAAATGCGCGCAACTGGTCTCTTTCCAATTGGGAAGATGACATGAAGCTCGCAAAAGAAGCCCATATCGACGCATTCGCACTCAACTTTGCTGCCTCGTTCTCAGATTTGGCTTCCATGTCCTTGGCTTTTAAAGCCGCGGAGTCCACCGGCTTCAAGCTGTTCTTTTCTTTTGACTACGCTGGTGCCGGGCCATTCGATAAATCCCTCGTGATAGGCTGGATAAAGATCTTCAGCGGGTTTTCGCCGTATTATAAGTTCAAAGGGAAGCCATTTGTGTCTACCTTTGAAGGGCCTGGAAATGCAAAAGACTGGAAAGAGATCAAGGAAAAGACAGGTTGCTTTGTTGTGCCGTCGTGGTCTTCCCTGGGCGCAAAGGATGCTCTGGAGCTAGGCACCGCGGATGGACTATTCAGTTGGGCCGGTTGGTCATGGGCAACAAAGACATGGATACGTACGTCGATGCATCCTACTTGGATTATCTTGATCAAGCCGATGGCAAACCATATATGATGCCGGTCTCACCATGGTTTTATACCAATCTCCCCGGCTATGATAAGAATTGGCTTTGGCGAGGTGAGCTTTACTGAAGTTCAATTTTGGATTTGTGCAAAAGTTTTCGCCAGATGGACTCCATTACTGACACCTCTTAGGTGACACTCTGTGGACAGACCGTTGGGAACAAGTCATGGTGGTTCAACCAAAGTGGTTGCAGATCATCAGCTGGAATGACTACGGTGAATCCCATTATATTGGCCCTCTTCGCGATATCGACAACTATGAAGCTTTCAAGGTGGGCAAGGCACCGTTCAACTACGCCCATGGTATGCCTCATGATGGCTGGCGTCTCTTCCTACCCTACTGGATAGACACGTACAAGAAAGGAAAAGGCACAGTCACTAAGGAGGGCGTGGTTGGGTGGTATCGGCCGAACCCTGTCGCTGCATGCAAGAACGGTGGTACAACTGGGAATACGGCCAGTCAGCTGCAGCTTGAATTTGAGCCTGCTCAAGTGGTTCAGGACAAGGTCTTCTTCTCTGCACTACTGACTTCGTCGGCTACCGTCACTGTCACTGTCGGAGGCGCATCCATCCCCGCTACCTGGGAGTTTATCCCGGACGGCGGTGTTGGCGTGTACCATGGAAGCGTGGGATATGGGAGCTTTCTTGGGGATGTGAAGATTTCTATCTCTCGTTCCGGTGCTACGATTGCGGAGTTCAGCGGTCCGGCCATCACGACAAGCTGCAAGGACGGTTATAACAATTTTAATGCGTGGGTGGGGAGTGCCTCCGGTCCCAGTATCTCAGCCGTTTCACCCAAATTGTCTATTGAGAAACAGACCTGCATCCAGGGCACAGCACCGGGTAACTTCCAAGGCCTCTGTGAATTCACCTGCAAATACGGATATTGTCCCATCGGAGCCTGTCAGTGCACCAAGATGGGTGCCCCGAGAGTGAAGCCCAAGCCCACAGGCGTGGAAGGGTATCCAATCGCCGGCGAAGGATCCAGTTACATCGGCCTCTGCGCCTTTGCGTGCAACTATGGGTACTGCCCACCAGATGCATGTGGTACAACCAAGGTACCTCTGACAGAACCTACGGTTTCACCTTTCCTTCCGTCAGCCTGCACCGCGGGTACTGGCGAGGGCGACCTCCAGGGGCTATGTTCATACGCCTGTAACTACGGATATTGCCCCATTAACCACTGCAAGTGCACTGCGACGGGAGCCCTCAACCGGCCACCACCTGCCAACACAACCTTCAGTGCGGATTATATCGGAGGTGATGGGAACGATAGTGGCTTTGCAAGTTTGCATGCCAGCGTGGCTATTGTCCGGATGTTTGTGCAAGTACCGAAGGTGTGATTCCCTCTTGCACAGACGATGATGACCGCCCCGAGTGCGCTGAAGAGCTTCCTTGCGACTATAGCCTGACATTCAATTCGTTGGAGGCCTTGGAGAAGGCCTCCGGCGATATACCTAGTGGTTGCATGCCGATGTATGCAGCGCAGGTCCTCATGGACACGCTAGACACAGCGCTGGCAAACTACACCGACGTTGACAATGGCTACGACGACAAGTTCGGGTACTACGTCAAATACCTCCGCGCCATGGTCCCCGGTGCTATCTCCAAATTCGTATCGCTGAACAAAGGTGAGGGGCCAGGTAACAAGTATTTCCAGTGCAGGTGGGCCATGCCAGGCGAGGAGAAGGGGGAGTACCAGAGCTGCCCAATCATCAACACATCCGAGCAAGTGTACATTGAGTATAAGTTGATCGATGAGGATGGTTTCTTCAAGGAACTCCAGAGCAAGTACGGCATCTCAAAAGACTGGGTCGAATTCAAAACCTACCACCGTGAAGTACCCGCATGTCCTCCTTTCACAGGAATAGGACCGCCCCCGATCTGCACCCATCCCCATTTCCAGTACGAAAACTTCCCCATGGCTAAAGAGGACTTCACTATCCCCAACCCCAAGGACTCAATCAAGGACGCGCTGCCCCGTTTCAAGCAGCTCCAGCTCGATCTAGCAGCCACATGGGGCGACCTGTCTTTTTTCCTCTGGGACGGCGACGATGACGACGCCGTGGCTGCCCTGTCCATGCCGGTGTTCATGCTCCTGCAAGCCGTTGACTCCATGGCGACAGTGAAGCAGATCGGCGAAGAGGAAAAGGAGCACGAGGAAGAGGCAAAGCGTAATCTGATCCTCATCATCCTCTCCGCGGTCCTACTTATCCTACCGTTTGCCGCAGAGGTCGTCGGAGCCGTGACGGGGATCGCCTGGATCGCAGATGCTGCCACAATCGCAGACGTCAGTGCTAGCATTGCGCTAGCGGGCTATGACATTGTGAAAGATCCAAAATCAGCACCTATGGAGCTTCTGAATATCCTGTTCGCTGGTTCGGGGCGCACCGCGAAGAATTTTTCCAAGGCTGCGGACGTTCGTCGTGGCATCAAGGTGGGCGAACTGGCAAAGTTTGGGTCTGTTTTTAAGGAACATGACGAGGCTTTGCAGAGTCTTATCCGGTTTTGTAAGAAGTGATCATGGTCTTATACGATTCTGTACTCCTTTTTGATGTTTGGTGACCATGGATAGTGAAAAGCGAGTCTGTAGCCGGAGTAAAAAAATATATATAATAAAACAAAATAAATTTATTTAATATTAGTCTACAAAGATCGACGAACCAACCTAAGGAGCTTTCATAAGATAGAATACCAGACATTCCTTCACCTACTAATAAATACCCCGGAAACAATTTCCCTTCATTCCTCTTGCATAACACCCTTCAGTAACACTCTTCAAAGACAAAAAGACATAGTCCTCTTACCTAGATTATCTCTCGCAACAACACACGGATTGCCATCCCTTGTACACTATCCCACTTTTATCATGGCTACAACAACTTTTCATCCAACCTTAGCAGTTTCCCCTACCTGGGCCTGAAGGAAAACAAGGGGCATCCTCAGAGTACCTTCGTAACAAAAACCCCCGGCCTTCATCTCTCCTTACCCAACCTTGCAAATACGAGTCACACTTGGCGAGAACTTTCTATACCAAGTCTCCATACATACAGTCACTCACTCACTCACTCACTCAATTACTAAATCAGTTAGACAGTTGGATATTTTCGTGTAGTACAGAATATGTGAGTGAACTAAGCCTAACCCCTTCCACCCTTGTTACTTCAAGCTTTTGAAGGCCATTCCCCCCGGTCAACCGTGGTATAGTTACCCCCTCCTCCCCCTAGGGAATACTTGCTGGCCCTGGGAAACCACCACTGTACCCCATCGAGAGGAAGACAGACCTGAACAAGATAGCGTGCGGCGCTCTGCATGTTGTGGGCATATCCGGGGGGGCGGATTCCCCAATTCGCGCACTGTACAGGACATATAGGCAAGTCCGATTTCCCCCCCACCCCCCCCAAAAAAAGGCTGGTAGTATGTACGAAGGGGAAGTGTATATGTGTTTTGTCGGTCTTTTACCTCCTTTCTAAGATGTGTTGGTTACTTGGTTGTTGCAGTCGGTGGACTTCGGGCTTTTGCTAGTACTTAGTAGTTAGGGCGCATGAATATCCGTGCCCTAACTCTCTTCCTCGACCGGTTGGTTTACTCGTCCTTTTTGGCCTTGCTGGATTCTGGGGCTTATTAGTAGTAGTGGGGGCGTTAATATAATCAAAGGTATGGCCTTTAGGTCTGTAAATAAAAACCTTCGTGAATATTGAGTGATTTAATGAGGGCTCCCCTTGGCCCCGTGATGAACCGCCACCCAGAAGACGGAAAGAGGGCTACTAGATTACCTCCCAACCTTCATGGACAGAATCTTCATTATAGATGTCTAGCTCTCTACAAGATCGTTACAATCGTCCTAGCAAATCCAGGTGCAGGATAAAGGTGTATATTGTATGTATCCCAGGCCCGTCCCAACCACCCGACCTTAGGGCCTGAACCTCGATATGATATCGAGATGCAGTAGTAAATAGTTCAATGAGGCGGTCTGGTATAATCCGTCCTCTGACATACATGAATGATATAGTATAACATGATAAGAGAGTAATTGGTATCAAAGAAATGCGTCCCATGCCCATCCAAATATATAACGAGGCGGCTACTGCCGTCCTCAACGGTATAAAGAGAAATAAAAAGCCGATGCAAATGACCAAGGGGTATCTTCCAACAATGCCAACATTTCGTAAGAAAAAGAAGCATATCATGTCGTTATATAATCCTCAAATTCCCAAGCTCCAAGCACAACCCATATCCTCCGCGGCTGCAACCCCTAGTCAGATTGGGGAACCAGCTTGTCCTTCCGGGGGACGGTGGTCATGCATCTTGGGGATGCCACAATCACCAGCTTTGACACCCCGGATCGTGGACAAGAGGTTGGACTCGGGGCTGCAGCACTAAATAGCCTGAACCCAGGGATCCTCCAACGCTTCGAAAATCGTCATTCGCCTTTCCGGAAACGGGTGCAGCATCCGGAGAAGCAGGGTCGCAAGCTCCTTCTCCCGAAATACAGCGGCGAAAGGTGTAAGTGGGAAGTTGTCTGCCGTTACAGGTACTTCGGGGTATTCTTCGAGGAGGTACTGCCAGCTTCCTTGGAAGACTTGGTAGACTTCGTCATCGTCGTTGGCTAGTTCCCAGGGTAATCTGCCGACGAAGAGTGCGAAGGCGGTTATGGCGCAGCTCCACACATCGAGGGCTCGGGCGTCGTAGTAGTCTATAAAGAAATCAGTATGAGGATTATATCGGTACGTTGCAAAGGAAGAGTGGGTACATACCGCTGCAGTCAAGTACCTCTGGTGGAAAGTAGGCAGGTGTGCCGCGGAGACGAGTAGGGAAGCTGCGGACCGGGCCAAGTTCCCTCTCCCCTTGGCTGTTGGGAGGGAGGAAGTCAGCAAAGACCTCGGAGAGCCCAAAGTCGATAATCTTGAGGACGTTATCATCGGCCAGGACCATGTTCTCCGGTTTAATATCGTGGTGTGCGATACCATGGCTATGCATGTGTGCAACACCCCTGAGCATTTGTTTAAGGAGGCACTTTTTGTCCCCATGGCGAAGAGTGTTCCCTTGGATCAAGTCACACAGATCGCCATGGGGACAGTACTCCATAACAAAAGCCAGGCGACGCTTGTATTTGCAGAGGCTGATAACCTCGATGATATTCGGATGATGGAGGCCCCTGGCGATGTTGAACTCCCTGCGAGCCCGGTCCGCATATAACAAGTCGAGCTCTCCTTCCTCCCTGTTGAGGAACTTGGCCGCATACTTCACCAGCGTGCCCTGCTCTTTCCTATGCACGATCTTGACTTTGGCGAAGTTACCATTGCCGATGGTGTCATTTGTCGACTGAAACTCCTTGTGGAGCTTTTGAATTATGTATTTTTCCGTCTTCGCGGGTGACGGTGACCGGGTTTTGGTGGAGCTGCTTGAGCAGCGTCGCTTTTCCACTTTGTCTTGGATGCTGAGTTGTGCCATTGGTATGGGCACTTATGGGGGTATTTCGAGGTGTTTCGGGATAGTAGCAAGCGTCGGCTGCTTGATATTCGAGGAGACTGTGGTATACTCGCGTATACCAAGTTAGAAGTGATATATAAAGCAAGTTTGATGAGTGAGCTAGCTGGTAGTTCAAAAGGGAGACAACGAGATGAGTGTAGTAGAGAAGATGCAGGAGATGGTGCAGACAGGCCAGGCTATCGTACTGAGTGCCCGGCGAAGAATTATCTCATAGTTTGCGACTACTGTACTGAATGACTATATAGATAGGGTCCCATGGATTGACCATATGGAGTCATCTCCATAACCCCACGATCTCCCCAGATTTCATAGCAAACCATGGTTGGCGTCAGGGGGAAAATTAAAATACTGAAGGAGTAGATTTTGTTGGTGCTCTACGCAGCCCAATCCCGAATACAACAGTACTCATAGTGGTCTCGAGAAAAATAAGTAGTGTAGTGTAGAGAAGGGGGGGCAGAGCCTAGGGTTGAAGGAAGAGTCATGGTGAAGTATACAATCAATTCCCTTAACGAGTGGATGGCAGGTCATACGGTAAATTACGGAATACTTTGTGTCGGCGTCGAAATTTGCTTAGAAGAAAAACTAGCCAGTAAACGTTCTCTATGGGGTAACTATGATGGTTGAATTACTGACGTCTGCATTACTTGGAGGCTACTCTGCCTGTACATCCATCCGCCTTCAATACCAATTCTCCAAGAGACCTCTGGACGGCGACAGGGCGTGTGAAAAGCATGCCGAAGACCTCTTGACACTGTAAAACTTGCCTTACCTTCCTGAGTACGACAAGAGGAGAGGGGGCTACTAGACAAGACATCCAAGTCGAGTAGGGGACAAGAACGGTGGGCTTGTAGTTTAGCGCGCCTCACACTTATTGTCTAGGTTGCAGCGAGAATTTTCTGGGTTGCAACGTAATCGAACCATAGCGTTTCTTTGGGTCAGAGCCTTCGTAAGAGCCTGTGAAAGCATCTCACGTGCTGTAGTGGCATGGGTAGGCTCGAGAAGGCTATACACGCGGGACTCGGAAGTCTATATCACAGCTCTTGGATACCAGGCTGTGATATGAGCCCTAGGCTAGCCAGGTCGTGAATCCTCTTCGGCGTGTCTCATGCTGGGGTGTAAGCAGTATGTTCCCGAGAACATCAATGGCTCCTTTTGTCTCAGTCTGAAAACGTTGACCGGGGATGGTAATGTGTGTGTGCCTGACACGGCCAATCGCTTGCATCAGAATGAGCCAACCGTAAAGGCATCAGTGAATGGTGCGTCTCGACTACGTGGGACTTCTCAAAAGTCTTGAACACCCGTCTCTCCTTGTAGTCTCGATCTGACGTCACCGCCACTTGTACCTTCGACGATCCATTCAGGTTCTTCATCGTCGAAATATCGCTCTTGCTCTTCGTTCCAGTCATCATAATCGTCATTCTCATCAACAGTGGCATAGTCGAAGTCGTGGTCTTCGCCCCTTATAAATCGCAGTGTCATCTCCCATTGCCAGGTCTTTTCACCTTCTTCCTTGCTCGTCGGTATCTCATCTTTGTCCTCCGCGAGGATTTCCCCGTTCGGGCCACGGCTATAGCTAAACATTGCATTGGGATCCGGATGAGACAGGGCATCCATCTTGGCCTCCGAACGATAAAGGTCCGCTTGAAGGATGCCCGAGAACCCTTTGGCTCGCCCTTCAGCCTCTCGCTCCGCCGGTGTCTGGAATCGGCGGATCAAGCGATCGTACAGCAACGGGTCTACAACGCTAGAGTGTTAGCTTTGGTCATCTTTTCCCGACTGCGATAGCAAATGCGATCAGTCGCGGAAAAGAAAGGAAAGAGCGAGCGGACCGGCTAGCTCGAGATCAGCAGAGAAATACTCCGGATGGGTATCCAGATAGCGTTTCCGACGATTCTTGACCAGCGTCGCGGGGGACAGTGGCATTGAGCCGGACGTGGGCTTTGGGTCATTCTCTGCTTGAACCCCCGTACCCATTGGGAAAAAAGGCATATTCAGCGGTCGACCGGGGAATCGTATGGTTGATTGCACAAAGGGAGCACAAAGGGAGCAGGCAGGCAGTGGATGATGAAGTCGGCGAGGGGGACTGAAAGTGACAAGCGGTGGCGGTTTCCATCATGCAGAGCTCCATAAATTCAGCCTAAACTGTTTTGGGCCGGAGGGACTGCGGCAAATTTCGCCCAAGAGTCAAATAAATAATATAATTATATAAATCTCCGCCGTCGCCTTTCAATCAACGAATAACAGCTCGCCTGGGCCGGAGTATGGACTTTGGCCTTTCTACCTGAAGAAAGGATAGGTGAGAACCACCTCCTGTTTGTTTCACATCGCGCGTTGGGAGTGGCGCTTGGCTCGTTCACCAACGCCATCCCCTACGCGCACCTCTCCCCTACTACTACCCTACCCACTGACTTGACATGCATTGAACCTACGAGTTAACCAACGCTTTCAGTGAAGCCTCCCCAGACCAAGCACACAACGTTTCTGCGCAGATTCCAAGCCAGAAGTAGTAGTCTGTGGAGGTCCGGCGCCATGTCGTCTTTGGAAGAAATTATTCAGCAGGTCAACTCGAGAAGACTGTGGCGAGGCGCGGCATTGTTGGCCCTCGCCGCTTTCTCGTCGCCTGTGTTTGTGCTGACCCTGGCTCCGGTGTACGGCTCTGCTCCGTCGCATATCTTCCACGGCTATGGGGTTGCCATTACTGCTGCGATCGGGTGGTTTCTCAAGGATGTTATTCAGCAGTTGACCAACCGCCGGGCTGTGTATCTACTCCCAGTCGTCGCATTCTGGTACCCCACCATCCAGTACTTTTTGCTCCAGCAGAGCTCCTCCTTTGGGAACCCTACCGGTGCCGTGATCACTGAGGTGGTTGCCTTCTATCCTTTTGTTTTGCTCTCCGTTGCCTGTGCCGCCAAATTGGTGCAAGCTGGCCTCAACCTTGAACGCTATGGTGATATTGCCAAAGAGCATGTCCCCCTCATTAGCTCGTATGTCGTTTATACTTTCGCAGAGAAGCTTGCGAAATCCTTCATTGCGAGGTTTATCGGTTCATTCTGGCTTTTCTCAAGCACAGGCCTTCAGTTCTTCGTGGCAATCTTGTGCTCTACCGTCATTCCATCTAAGTGGCTCCTCTTGGCCATTCCCTCCATCCTCTTCACACTCACCTCTAATGTGCACCTGCCTTTGGGAATCACAACATCGGGGCTCAGATCCACGCTTAATGAGGAGGGATTTGCACTAGTGGACCGGCAGGAGTCCTCAACCGGTTATATATCGGTTTTGGATAGTCTTGAGGATGGCTTCCGGGTGATGCGATGTGACCATAGCCTCCTTGGAGGCCAGTGGACCAAGACCTATCGCAACTACAACCCCAAGGTTCAGGACCCGATTTATGCAGTTTTCTCTTTGCTCGAGGCCGTCCGGCTGGCGGAAACGGACCACGGAGCTCACCGAGTAGACGCAGACAGCAAGGCACTGGTCATGTGAGTCAAAACTAAACACTCCTACTTCCTCAAGCTAACTGTATCTCAGTGGACTTGGAGTCGGTACTACACCTGCTGCACTCATCACTCACGGGATCGAGACCACCATTGTCGAGATTGACCCTGTCGTCCACAAGTTCGCCAGCAAATACTTCCACCTCCCATCTAACCACATTGCAGCCATCGAAGACGCCACACTGTTCGTTGACCGCGCTTTGAAATCTCCCAAGCCCACCCAATATGACTACATCGTCCACGACGTGTTCACTGGCGGCGCAGAACCAATTGAGCTCTTCTCCATTGAGTTCCTCGGAGGTCTTAACTCTCTCCTTAAGGAAGACGGTATCATCGCAATGGTAAGTTCATGCTTAATTAACCCTTCCAGCTTACACTAACCCTGGACAGAACTACGCTGGTGACCTGTCCCTTTACCCGGCCGCCCTCACCGTCCGTACCATCCAAGCCGTCTTCCCGTCTTGCCGGTTTTTCCGTGAAGACTCAGGCGAAGAGGGCAACGGAGATTTCACGAACATGGTCATTTTCTGTAAGAAGGACTCTGCTACTCCTCTTCGTTTCAGGGATCCTGTCCCTGCCGACTTCCTGGACAGCAAGTTCCGTGAGACATACCTTGTGCCCAAGCATGAGATTGATCCGGCTATTTTCACCACCGTCACCGGTGGACAGCGTGTCCTGAGGGCCAAGGACACCGGTAAGCTTTATAGGTGGCAGGACCAGGGTGCTCTGGAGCACTGGGGTATCATGAGGAAGGTTCTGCCAGATGCTGTGTGGGAGAATTGGTAGAGTTTCTGCTTTATATCATATATAACTTTACTGTATAGTATCAACTGCCCAGTGTGGGCCTGGTTCTACCTTTTCACGGCTTTTTGGATAGGATAATTGAAATGCTATTTGTTTTGTTTGTCAGCTAGAGTATGTAAACTATGTATCGCGCGACATTGGTAAAGGTATACACGGCGGTGTATTGGCTCGCTCCTTGGTGGTTCGGCACGCATGGGAGACAGGTAAGCAGGCATGAATCGAATTCTAAACAAATAATAACTAACGACAGAGAAAAAGTATCAATCAGGGAGTATAAACAAAATGCAAAAAGATATGGAGATGCGGGGAATTGAACCCCGGACCTTTCACATGCTAAGCGAACATTATACCACTAAACCACATCCCCAATTCGATGTAAGAGGGGTCTCAAAAGTGCTACATAAGCAAATACTATTCTTCATGCATATAATCCATACCTAACGTTGAGTCATTGGCTGTGAAGCCGGTCATATCTTCGTGGCTAATTGTGGTTTCTCCTGTTGCATAAGTGAGGTATACCGGCATATAATTCACCCGTTGTCGAGAATATGGCATGAGACTACCGCTGACTCTCCCTTGTGTAGTCGTTGGTTGTACGTCAATTCAGTATAACCATGTGTGCGGTGGATTTACTTCCCTTGGGATATATATCTCTGGGATCCTCAACAGACGATAGCACCACACACCCGGGCCACACAACCACAGAAATACAGTGCATCACTCTAGCACACAAGGGCCACCAGCTGCCGTCCATATCCCAGTTTGTAAGCGAGCCACATCACGCACCCAGCAATGAAAGTAGCAATCGCTAATTCACAGATAGTCTCCATCCTCAACCCTAACCCAACCCCAACACAAGAGATCGAGCCAACAGAACTACAGACAGAAAGGGAAACTAGCGACCGAATCCATACAAAACAAATAATATCACAGCCTGTCTCGACCAGAACGGATACACTGTAAAGCGTTACTCCCACCTTACTGTATGGTTGGTCTCCTCCCAACACAACCCGTAGCACGGATGTAGACGTCCACAATAAACCCCGTAATACAGAAAGGCTCGACGCCCATACTAAATCTAGGAGTTACAGACGGGGAGCACACCACGTAGCGCCATGGGATTTAAGGAGCTGACCCGAGGAACAAGCGATCCCACGTGTCCGAAAGCCAAGATAGTGGAACAGATCTGCCAACAAAAGCCATGGATGTTAATGGTTCTTATTCTAACCCAATCGAACTGGCTGAGACACTTTGGTGCGCCAGATGGCCTTTCTTTCCATGAATCCCCGGAGTTATTTGGCATGTAGCGTAATACATACAGTCGTAACCCTACTCATACTGAATAACTATAGGATGCATGTACCTATAGGAAGAGGTCGCTCTAAGCTACATAGGGCATAGGTTGGCCAAGGCATACCCTAGGCTAATAGTGCATTATATTGCTCTGGTATTTCAACCAATTGGGGATGTGGTTTAGTGGTATAATGTTCGCTTAGCATGTGAAAGGTCCGGGGTTCAATTCCCCGCATCTCCATCTTTTTTGCCCTTCATATTTTCTTTACCTTTTTACACGGTTTAGACATCTACGAGTTGTCTCGAAGTCGCAACATTGTTTAATGTGTCCTGCTCACATCGTAGAAGGTTCGTAGACAGCCCCGTTCGAACGTCAAACTTCCAATGAACTAGATCCATACTGTCCGTCCATATCTACAACTCGATTCACTACTACCTTGAATAACCAACATGCCAGCTACCTGGCAACCCCACTCTTGCCATATATCTAGTACCACCAACAGTTGTTTTCAAAGAAGATATGTTTGGATCCAACACCGTGAATGCCGGCATGGGCTTGCCCCTGCGTATACATCAAGATGTGATATCTGGTTGTCTTGGCATTGGGGCTTGCCACGTCAAGTGACCTATACGGCTACTCTATCCACAAGGAGGAAGGTAGGTAGTAGTAGGTGTAGGGCGCGTTTGCAGGTCTAGGTAGGGCAGTGTGATAGCCTAGCTGCCAGATTCGGGAAGTGTCATCATTAAATGTATATCCTATTTGAATGATATGCGTATGTATATAGGTATCTAAGGGTATAATACAGATAAGCCGCCTAAAACAGAGACTTTGGATAAAGACAAAACACAGCAGCCAGCAGATCACTCAACTGAATGGAGGCGGATCTCCTCATCTGGAACGTCATCCGATGGGACATGTTTGTAAGACCGTGTTCTCCGACGGCGGATCAAAAGATAGATACTGGCCGCGATACCACTCACTATACCGCAAAGTACGATAAGGACGAAAATCCCACTGACATTTCGAACGAGATCGTACGTTTCATGCACCAGCTGGGCAATCTGCCTCACATCTGCATCAGCCGGGTGCGGGAATTGCATGTTGTTGTTGTTGTTGTTGTTGTTGTTGTTGTTTTTTAAGTTATCGGCCTCTTCGTCAGCAATTGTTTGCTTATTAGCGTTCGATTTGGGGGCCTTGGGGTCATCTGGTTTAAGGGTTTTGAGATCGCCCTTGAATCCAGCCGCACCCCAGTTATCGGGGATTTTGCTCCTCTGGACCCGAGAAGTGCCCAGGACTCGGCCTTCGTGATCAACCGCTTCCGCGGTCACCCAGTCCAGGTATCCGCGGGCGATGAACATCGTCTCAAAATCAGTCTTGGTGGCGTTCCCAACAAGGATAGGGTGGCCATTCTTCGCAGCCCGCGCGTAGAAGTTCCACCCAGCGATATCGGTGGCACCATTCCAACTGACATAGAAAGTCGTCGAGAGGTCTGTCTGATCCGTGCCCCACACAGAGGAGACCAGGTCAGGAGGTGCACTGGGGCGGCCGGTGAACTCAAACTTGTATGCACGATAGGTCGAGTAGCGCGAGGAAGCAAAGTTTGCATTCAGCAAAGTGTCCCCTTCGGGTGAGAACTCAGAAATATAGCCCCTTTCACTCCATCCAACAAACACGTTATTGTTTGGGAGCAGCTGAGTATTGCCACGGAGTCGCGTGAGACCACCATCGGGGCGGTTATGGCGTCGGATAACTCTCGCAGTCTTGGGGGATGTGCTGGTATCTAGCTCGATGAAAAGAGCTGATGATACATCCTCGTCATTGCTGAATTCATCAGAGGCATTATTCAGGAGCGAAATCACATGGTGCGTCCCATTAGACTCAATGAATTTTGCATCGTGCTGCTTGGAGAATGTGAAGTCTTGTTCAAAATCAGTGTACTGCCCGCCCAGCCGCCACATAATATTCCCATCCCTGCCGGAAACCATGTAAATCGTGTTGGTAAACCGGTAGGAGATAATGTAGTCGCCATCATCGTTCTTGTCAATTGAGTTAATGTGGACATAATCCCATCCTGGTGGCCCCACGGGAGGGGTCTCCTTGTTGACAGTGACCGATTCACTCAGGGCAACTTTGTCGACGCCATCCCAAACATAATTGATCTTTTCCGAGCTCAAATCGATCTGGACAAACCCGCCCGACAAAATATGCGTATGTTCGCCAGGGCGGTCCAGTGTGTCCAAGGCGATTTCATGTTCTCGGTAAGTGATGGCCATAGCCGTTTTGCCATCGTCGAGGATATTGAACTCGTGTATATCAAAGGCACCGTACTCATCCGGCATAGGAACTTTCTTTTTGATGTCATAAGCATTGTCTAGTACGACGCCATATCCATTATCCGAGTGATCGTAGGCGATTTGCCAGACCAACGAGAGGTGTGGTTTGTCACCAATGCTATGGACTACCTTGAAGTCGAAGATGTTGCGGTTATCAAACATGGGCGAGCCAGCCCAGATGAGCATCTATAGTGCAGGGAATCGGTTAGTCTTTTTTTTTTTTTTTTTTTTTTTGGCGGATTGCGGGGTGTGGGACGTTGGGATTTATCAAGTGAGACATACCCCATCGCCATCATAAATATAGGGTCCGATCTGGTATGGCTGGTATTTTTGCGACGGTGGTTCCGGGGCGATGTTTCCATAAGGCGCGACGAACCAGTAGCCCGGGCTGACGCGATCGCGATCTTTGTAGTACACTTCATATTTTAACGCCCTGACACCCGGGAGCTAGACGGGGTTCCCCTTGTTTTTAGCACCGGATCTTGCCAATATCGTGCTGGCCTTGGAGATCACTTTTTAGCTTACCGTCACAAAGGACATTAAGTCGTCATCGGCGCTAGATTGTGCAAATGCCGTAAGCGCCAATTGGAGCAGTGCAACAATGGGGAAAATCATCCTCTCATGGGTAGGGAACTAGTAGACAGATGATAGAAAGGGAGGTCTGGCCTGTAGGAAAAGACAAAAGAAAGCCGCATGAAGTAGGAAAGAATGGATGATAACCAGGTAAAATCAAATAAAAGAATGTGTAGGTAGAAAGAAATTCAAGATCAGCTGCTTCATGAATTTTTGGTGACAAGCAGGGAGTCCAGCACCCAGGCTCTCTCTCTCTCTCTCTCTCTCTCTCTCTATGTACAGGGGAGGGTGGGAAATAAGTTGATCAAGTGGGCAAGGATTACGTTGAACCTGGAAGGACTTAGTATAAATCTAGTGGGCGTTGCACCTCCATGAACGGTGCAATGAAACGGCACCGGCCCGCCTTGAATCCCTGTTGGTCATAGTCGTTCGCTTCGTGAGGATGCGCCGCAGCCCTGCGAGCTGTGAGTTGTTAAGCTGTAACGCCTGGTGGGTCGGTGGCTTCTCGGCATTAGCCTGGTATACGTAAAGATTGTCCATCCACCCGGCTCTCGGAGTAAAATCCACCGCGTCATGTTTCAGGTCCCCTCGGTCTTATTCTTCCGCCGTGGTCTTGGGACTCTTGGAGACGTGTACCTGCAGATTGAACAAGTTATACACAGTCGAAACTTAGTACAGTACGGAGTATGTCGGTGTTTTACTGGAGGAACTATAAAGCAAGTCCCATGTTCTCCCGAAGGGTTGAAACCGCCAGGAACTCCATGGCGATCGCTGTTTCCCAA